AACCTAATGGATGCAGTCCATGTAGTAAAGCGTTCTCTAGAAAGTCCAGCCTGAGTGACCATTAAGACCTGAAGAAGTATCAATGCATCAAATGTGACAAAACCTTCTTCACGACATCACAGTTCAGTATACATCAGAAAAACAACATGGGACAGAAGCCTTATGCGTGTAGTGAATGTGATAAAGCATTCATCATAAAGTCTCTGCTCGTGCTGAAACCGGTTTGGCTCAGTGGATAGAGCGTCGGCTTGTGGACTGAAAGGTCCCAGGTTTGATTCCGGTCAAGGGCATGTACCTTGGTTGCGGGCACATTCCCGGTAGGAGGTGTGCAGGAGGCAGCTGATGGATGTTTCTCTTTCATGGATGTTTCTAACTATCACTCCCTCTCTCTTCCTCTCTGTGAAAAAATCAATAAAATACATTTTTTTTTTTAAAGTCTCTGCTCGAGAGAACCAAGATGGTGGCATAGGTAATCACCTATACTTGCTGCCTCTCACAACCACATCAGTACCACAACTAAACGGCAGAACAGTTACCACCCAGAACTGCAGGAAAGTTGACTGAGTGGAAGTTCCACAACTAGAGAGATGAAGAAGGTGCATTGAGACTGGTAAGAGGTACAGAGGCACGGGAAGTGCTAGTACCTGGATGTGCTGCTCTTTTAACCAGGAGGGAGATACAAGCTCCCATTTGCTCTGAACTCCAGTTCCAGACGAGGCTCTGGGGGACCCAGGCACATATGGGAAAAACTGGACTGCCTGGCATAGGGACAGGAAAGCGAAGGTGGCTTGCGTGGACGCAGAGAACCGGGGACTTCTCCGGTTCACGGCTTATTGACAGCCATTGCTGTTTGCTCAGCCCTGGTGACTCAGAGACCCAGCCCCATCCAATTTACAATCCCACCCAAGGTGTGGGCATCAGCGTTTGCATATGAACACCCTGTCCTTGTCCTAAAACTTCTCAAACTGCAGCTAGGTCAGAGAGCCCCAGAGCTTCCAAAAGAAAGCCCAAGGCCCTGCCATCCTTGCTTCATAGCTGAACCTCGTCTGGGCACTCCCAAACCCCGTTCGAAGAAGAGGAATCTGCAGATCTCCCTGTAGCTCCTGCTAGGCAGCCCCAGACAGTGGCTGACCTTGCACCTCCTTGGAGATCCAAGAGTCAGTTTGCCCAGTGGTCAGAGTGAGACCATACCAGATTACAACTCTTCAAATACAGAAGAGACACAACCAAGGGGCAGACCCAGCAACAAATTCACAGGCAGATAAACTACCGTGTTTCCCCGAAAATAAGACATCCTCCAAAAATAAGACCTAGCACATGGAAAGATAATACATCCCCTGAAAATAAGATCTAGCACAACTTTGGGAGAAAAAATTAATATAAGACACTGTCTTATTTTTGGAGAAACAGGGTATATGCCATGAATGGACTTCTCCATGAAGAATTCTCTTCAGTATACATCAACAAGTTCATACGGCAGAGAAGCCATCCAAATGCAGTGGGTGTGGTGAAGGCTTTAGGAAAAAGATACGCTGGTGCAACATCCGACATCTCCCTGAGGAAAGATTTGCTTTTCACGTTCTGAATGTGGGCAGTTCTTGTGCAAAAGTAACCTCATTAGCCATCAGAATGGGCTTGGGAGAGAAGCACGATGAACGCAATAAAGACGGGAAAGCCTTCACTATGAAGTCAGGTCTCAATGTTCATCAGACAACACAGGAGAGAGCCCTGCGGATGCAGCAATTATGGTAACACTTTTGCCCACTTGTCAGTCCTTATGAAATATTAGAGAATTTACAGGTAGCTGCTTTGGGGAAATCCTGTAAGCCCTCAAGATAATAGTATGGCCGAAACCGGTTTGGCTCAGTGGATAGAGCGTCGGCCTGCGGACAGAGGAGTCCCAGATTCGATTCCAGTCAAGGGCATGTACCTTGGTTTCAGGCTCATCCCCAGTAGGGGGTGTGCAAGAGGCAGCGCATTGATGTTTCAACTCTCTATCCCTCTCTCTTCCTTTCTGTGAAGAATCAATAAAATATATTTAAAAGAAAAAAAAATAGAATGCACAGAAGAATAGCTTAATTCAAAGAATGTAGTGCTGTATTTGAAAGATGAAATAGTGAGGGGGCCGGAGACCGGGATGCCAGGACACAGGCTTTATTGAAGAGAAGAGAACCACTGCGGGCTGCTTCCAGAGAGAGAGAGAGCAGAAGAGAGTGAGGGTCGGGGGATACAAACACTTTTTAAGGGAAATATAGGGGACGGGGCTTAGGGCACTCAGCACATGCTAATTGATGGTTTCCTGTAAGGCCTATGATTAGGGACCTAGGGACTTAGGAATTGGGGGCTTAGGGTATTTGGCAGGTGCTGACTGGTGGTTGGCTGCAGGTGAAGTTTATGTCTGTCCGTCAACTGGAGGAAGGGAGGACCTATCAGTATTTACTGACCAATTACCTCTTATTTTACATTGATGAAAAAATGTATAAATCTCAGATTCAGTCAACATTGATGAAAAATATTTTAGGACATTTATATGTCTAAAGAGTGTTTTCTGAGGTAAATCCAATGAATGTGACTGAAAAAAAACCACTTTAAAAAAAAATTAAAAATATTTTTAATTGATTTTTTTTTTTTTTTTTTTTTTTTTTACAAGGAGGAAGGGAAAGAAATAGAGAGTTAGAAACACTGATGAGAGAGAAACATTGATCAGGTGCCTCCTGCACCCTGCCCCCCTTGGGGATGTGCCCTCAACCAAGAAACATGCCCTTGACCAGAATCGAACCTGTGACCCCTCAGTCTGCAGCCCGACGCTCTATCCACTGAGCCAGACCTGTCAGGGCTGAAAAAACACTTTAGTTGGAAGTAGAAAATCTTATATGTGATCATTAGAGATCATGACTGAGTGAATATTTTTAATTGTGGGAAAATGTCTTCTGGAAAGTAGGACATTATTAGACATTAGTTGACATTACAGCTAGTCACTACTCGAGCAGTGAATAAGCAGTAATTTATGTTGCCTTATCATTTGCCAGGAAATCTATGCAGAAATAGCTGACTGCCGGAACCGGTTTGGCTCAGTGGATAGAGTGTCGGCCTGCAGGCTGAGGGGTTCCGGGTTCGATTCTGGTCAAGGGCGTGTACCTTGGTTTCGGGCACACCCCCCGTAGGAGGTGTTTCTGGCTTTCTATCCCTCTCTTCCTCTCTGTGAAAAACTCAATAAAATATATAAAAAAGAAAAAGAAATAGCTGACAAAAACATTCAATTTGGTGGTCTTTGGTAAAACCTCAGGTAACTTAATCAAGGAAAGAAGTGTTGAATGAAAAAGCATTGTCACAAGTCTAAACAGTTAATGCACCTCACAAACAATTGGGGAGAGGATACCTTCAGCCATATTTGTAGTTGCTTTTCCAGTTATTTTTAAGATTTAAACTCTGGTAGTTGCTCTCATCATGGGTTAAATTTTTATACAACACAGGAGTGGTCTACACTTACTTCATTGTGTAATTAAGTTTGGAATTTCTCCATTTCATACTTTGTGTTATTTCAGAGTATTTGAAGTACTTGAGTCCCAGACAGGACACATGCCCACATTTTGGGCTTATTCCCCAGTAGGGGGCATGCAGGAGGCAGCTGATTCTATCTCTATCTCTCTCCCACTCTATCTCAATATCAAAACACTTTTTTAAAAAAAAAGGAAGCTATATGTTCATTTCACAAAGACAACAGCACATTTGGATGTGTTTCATCAAGTTTTTAAGCAGAATCAAGTGGTTTATAAACTGAAATGATTTTATTTTATTTTATTTTTTTAATTTTTTAAGATATATTTTATTGATTTTTTACACAGAAGAAGAGAGAGATATCAGCTGCCTCTTGCACACACCCTACTGGGGATGTGTCCGCAAGCAAGGTACATGCCCTTGACCAGAATCAAACCTGGGACCTTTCAGTCTGCAAGCCGACGCTCTACCCACTGAGTCAAACCGGTTTTCTCAACTGAAATATTTTTGAAAAAAATAATATATTTTTTACTGAGTTGTAAAGAGGAAGGAGAGGGGAATTTTTTTTTTTTTTTTTTTTTTTTTTTTTTTTTTTTTTTGTCAATCCTCACCTAAGAATATTTTTTCTATTGATTTTTATAGTGGAAGGGAGAGAGAAAAACATCCTTGTGAGAGACATAAATTGTTTGCCTTCTGCACTTACACTACCAGGACAGGGATTGAACCTGCAATTCAGGTATTTGCACTTGACCGAATCATACATACCAAGTCCCTTCAGTGGGTGGGTCAGGGCTCTGAAATCTGAGCCACACTGCAGGGGTGAGAGGGGAACAAAAACCCTTTAAAAAAATAGTCATTTAAAAAATTGTATTTTTTATTGATTTTAAGAGAGACAAAGAAATATCAATGTGAGAGAAACACATTGATTGGTTCCCTCCAGCACACGCCGCCACCAGGGCCTGGGCGGGAGAGGAGCCTGCATCACGGGTGTGTGCTATTGATTGGAATCGAACCTGGGATCCTTCAGTCCGCAGGCTGACTATCTACTGAGCCAACCAGGCAAGGGCCTGATTGTTAAGAGAAGAGAAAATTCACCTAAGCCGAAACCGGTTTGGCTCAGTGGATAGAGCGACGGCCTGTGGACGGAAAGGTCCCAGGTTTGATTCCGGTCAAGGGCATGTACCTTGGTTGCAGGCACATCCCCAGTAGGGGGTGTGCAAGAGGCAGCTGATCGATGATTCTCTCTTATCGATGTTTCTAACTCTATTCCTCTCTCTTCCTCTCTGTAAAAAAATCAATAAAATATATTTTTAAAAAATAATAAAATAAAAAATATAAAGTTAAAAATAAACTTTATATTATGCATCTTAGTTCTTTTTATTTCTTTTTTTTATTTATTAAATTATCTGTGTACATATCTTACCATTGCCTCCCGCCCTTCCCATACTAGTTCTTTTTATTTCAAAAGTGTATCCTACTTTCCTGTGTTCTATTTTTCACATTAACATATGATGGTGTAAGTAGGTCATTGATGGGATAAGATGTTCTAGAATCTCATCCATTCATAGCTCTTTATGATGAGTCGCTGCGTTGGGCTCCAAGATAACGTGTTTTCATTGAGATGACAACTTCCTTCAGCCATTTCCAAGATGCCTCTTTCACGCGATGGGACCTCTCTCAGCCCCTGCAGAGGCGGACCCGGGTCCTTTCTCCGGGATCGGGGCGGGAAAACGCTGGACGCTGGCCTGGGACTGACCACATCACCCCAACGACCAAATGCGAAATCCCCCGCGGGAGCCAATGAGGAGTCCGAGGACGCGTTTCCGGCGAAGCGCCGAGAGGCGGGACTTCCGGTGTCCTCAAGGCAGGCCTTTTGTCTGCGATCGGGATGCGGCCGGCTGTCTGCTCCGAGGTTCCCGATCGCCAGGCCCTCGTGGAGCTGCCCCCGGGGGACAGCCGCGCGGGTGGTGGTCCCGAGAGCACGCGCGCGGGCATGGAGATTGCCCCGGGGGCGTGGGGGGCCCTCTCCCCGGCCCCGCCCGGCCCCGCCATCCCCGCCGCGGCCGCCGCTCCCGCCGCCCCCGCCCCGCTTCCTCCCCCGAGCGCGATGGCGGCGCCCGCGCCGAGCGGCGGGGCTGAGGTGAGTGCGCGTCCCCCAGGCCCCCCGCCTCCTCACCCCGCACCCCACAGCCCGGTGCGGGCCTGTCCCTCCTGCAGCTCCGTCCGCGGGGAGGACCGTGAGGAAGGCGGAGGGGAGGGAGGAGCGCAGTGGCTTCTGAGGACACAGCCAGTGCGGGGCGGAGAGGACAGGGGTGACCGGCCTCTGAGGTTCCCACGCGGAGGTGGGTGGTCAGGGATGAAGAAGCAAAGATCAGAGGCTGCAGGGAGGATGTCGCAGGCTCCATCCGGGCTTTCCGGGTTGGCGTGGACCCGGCTGGAATCCAAGCTCTCCCGATCGCCTGTGCCAAGTGCATGGGGCAGTCCAGCGAGGTCCAGGGGCATTGGAGCAGGAAGCGGGCAGAGCTGAGGGAGTGAACCCGGGACTGAAGATGGGAAGGGGATAAACATTACCCCTGTGTGTGCACATCTGGAGGGAGTGTGAGCTGATGGTCCCCGGGGCCTGGTGTGGGGACAAAGGGTGAAGCATAAAAGCTCGTGTTTGTCTGTCTTTGTCTTGAGGGCATGATCTGGGAGCCTGCAGTGGGACTGTTTGGCAGGAAGGCTGGGGCCCTGCAGGCATCGCTCAGAGCTTAGATGGTGTTTCTCTGCCGGCCGTTTGCCTTTCCTGAGGGCGATCCCAGTGAGTGACGGGACTGTGATGAGAGAGCAGCCTGCACTGGCATTAGGGCCTGGTGTCCACACTAATCAGGTGCCCTGGAGGAGGTAGAGGGCGGGGGAGGAGTAGAATTACTGGATCTCAGAAAAGCAGATCTGTATTCAATGGTCTCCATTCTGACAGGTTGGCGTGACCTTGGAGGACATTGCCCTGTACTTCTCCAGGGAGGAATGGAGCCTCCTGGATGAGGGTGAGAGACGTCTGTACCTGAATGTGATGCTGGAGAACTTTGAACTTGTGTCCTCGCTGGGTAAGACCCTCACTGTCACCAGGGACCTGGACTTGGCTTTGCATTTCCCCAGCCCCTTTTCCCAGGTGCGCTCTGTCCTCACATGAGAATGGTGGTTACTGCACGTTTTCCAGTTTCCTGGGCAGTTGCTGTCCTTTGCTTGCACTGCGGCTGCTCTCTGTGCCGCCCGGATTCCTGCTGCACTGAACTCACAGGGAAGGACCTGTGGTTGGTAGGGTGGCAGAGAGCCTAACGGATTCCACCTTGATTAGTGAGGAAAAGCGTTTTTTATATTCCTGTTGGTCATTTGTATATAATTTTGGGAAACCTTTCTACATCCTTAGCCTGTGTTTGTTGTTATCATTTTATATTTTTGTTGATTTCAGAGAGGAAGTGAGAGAAGAGAGAACTGTCAATGATGGGAGCCTCCAGCACGTCCCCTGCTGGGGGTGGAACCTGCAACCCAGGCATACTCCAGACGGGAATTGAACCTGGGGCCCTTCAGTCCACAGGCCAGCACTGTCCACTGAGCAAAACCAGCTAGGGCAGCTTATTTTAATTTTTAAAATAAACTTTTTAGGCCTTTTTCTTTTTCCTTTTTTTTCTTTCCTCTGTCTTTTTCCACCCCGCTGTGTTTCTTAGGATTCCCACAATGCAGATAATGGCTCTCTTGATGGTGTTACTTAGTTCACATTGCTGTATTCTTTTTTTTATTCTTTTTTTATTTTTATTTTTTTTAAATATATATTTTATTGATTTTTTTACAGAGAGGAAAGAAGAGGGATAAAGAGCTAGAAACATCGATGAGAGAGAATCATTGATCAGCTGCCTCCTGCACACCCCCTACTGGGGATGTGCCCGCAACCAAGGGACATGCCCTTGACCGGAATCAAACCTGTTACCCTTCAGTCCACAGGCCAATGTTCTATCCACTGAGCTAAACCGGTTTCGGCTCTTTTTTTAAAAAAATTTCTTTTATTATTATTTCTTTATTGATTTCAGAGAGGAAGGGAGAAGGAGTAAGAAATGGAAATATCAATTATCAGAATCATTGATCGACTACCTCCTGCACGCCCCTTACTGGTGATCAAGCCCACAACGAGGGCATGTGCTCATGCCTGGAATCGAACTTGCAACACTTGAGTCTGCAGGCATTCACTCTGTCCACTGAGCCAAATCAGCTGGGACTGCTATATTCTTTAAATTTATTTTTCCTCTTTCTTTCTACCTGCATAATTTCAAATGATGTATCTTTGACATCATGTGTTCTTTCGTGTGTGATTTTGATACTCTTCATTTTATGTTTGTAATTCATTCCTTGTAATTTATGAACTCTAGCATTTGTTTCATTCTTTTTTTATTATTTCTTTTTGTTTTTTTCTGTGTGTGTTTTTTTAATTTAATATATTTTTATTGACTTCAAGCGTGAGATAGAAACATCAGTGATGAGATAGAATCATTGATTGGCTACCCTCCTGCACACTCCCTACTAGGGATCAAGCCCACAATCCAGGCACTTGATCACATTTGAACCCGGGACTCCTCTGTCAGCAAACTGGCTAGGGATATTTTCCTTTTGTTACTGGCTTGATTTTGTCATTATGTTGGTTCTATTTGTGTTTTCTTGTAGCTCAGGGAAGTTTTTAAAAGTAAAGGTAGTTTGTATTTTTTATTTTTTTTTTAAACAGCTCAGTTTTGTTTTTGTTTTTGTTTTTTTTGTTTTTTTAATATATTGTTATTGATTTTTTTACAGAGAGGAAGAGAGGGATAGAGAGTTAGAAACATCGATGAGGGAGAATCATCGATCAGCTAGCTGCCTTTTCCACATCCCCTACTGGGGATGTGCCTACAACCAAGGTACATGCCTTTGATCGGAATTGAACCTGGGACCTTTCAGTCTGCAGGCTGACATTCTATCCACTGAGCCAAACCGGTTTCGGCAGTTTGTATTTCTTATCATGCTGTATGTAGATATCCATTTGTTTCCTATTGATAAGTGGAAAAATTATGTGTGTTTTTTTTTTGTGGTGTTTTGTTTTCAGTATTTTTTTTTTTTAATTGCTCTTTATTAGAGGCCCGGTGGATAGGTACAGCAGTGGGGTCTCTGAGCCTGGCCTGCGCCCTCTGGCAATCCGGGATCCCTCGGGGGATGTCGGACTGCAGCCCTGTTTCTGGCAGGGGTGGACATACCCCGAGGGATGTAGTAGTGAGCGAAGGTACAGACACCTGTGGTGGAGCCTGAGTGTCCACTGCTTGTTCTGCAGCTCCCACTTGTCCCAGCCCCACTCTGCAGGTCACCGCAGCGGCACTCCCCAGGCATGAGCCTGGCGCCCCTCAGTCAACTGCTGTGGGAGCACATTGAGCACCAGGGGTTAGCTCCGGTGGTTAGCGTCTGCCCCCTGGTGGTCGTTGGGTGTCATAGCGACTGGTCAAATGGTCGTTTGGTCACTTTTATTTTATTTTTTAAATTTTTTTTTATTTTTTTGGAGTTTTAGAGATTTTATTAGTAATACACACCAGTATATCCATTTCAGCAAGCAAGAGTAGGGAGGGTGGGATATTTCTGTGTCGGTGGTTCAGACATAGGTGCAGGCGGTGGCAGGAAGCTGGGTCTAGTGTTGCTTTTCCCAGCTGCTTAGCTATCTCTTGTGACACCGGAAATGAGAATACCTAACTGGAAAATAGTAGAGAGGGCAGGAGCCTCAAGCAGGGGCAATAGAAAGTACTGAGCACAGAGGAGAAATTGAGGGCAGGGGAAAGAGACAGAGTATGCCCAACAGGGTATGGCTGGCCTGGGACCCAATCTGCTCCTGGATCGGCTGCAGGTAGCATCAGTGCCCCTTAAGCTGCTAAATTGGGAATGTCCTTCCAGGCCTGCTGCTGCTCTGTGGCATGTGCTTAGGCTTTTATATACTAGTACAGTGTTTCCCAAACTTTTTTTTGTTTTGTTTTGTTTCCTAAACTTTTGAGATATGTGTACCCCCTTCTATAATTTCGGTAACGCTGAGTACCCCTCGTACTCATGAGGATGTAGAATTAGGCGCAGCTAAGCACGGTGCAGTGCACATCTCCACCAAACTCCGGTGCAACGCGTATCTCCACCAAACTCTTCCCGTACCCCTGGGGGTACGAGTACCACACTTTGGGAAACACTGTACTAGAATATAGACTAGAGGCCTGCTGCACGAAAATCATTCCTGGAGGCGCCCGGTGGGGGCTGGCTTCAGCCAGCCTGCGACCTCTCCCACTCCAGGATCCTTGCTCCTTACCACCTGTCTGGTAGCTTCACCTTCCCACTCATCTCACTGTTCATTGCAATGCTGCAAAGGCGGGAGAGAGGCTGCCAGCACCACAGCTGAGCTCCTTAGCTGAGAGCCCGGCTCCTGTGATGAGCATCTGCCCCCTGGTGGTCAGTGCACAGCATAGCAATTGGTCCTTCTTGTTACAACATAACGGCCATATATGATGTAACAAGGGTTTTATTAGACTTTTATTATATACGTTGTTGAAAGTATTACGTATGTCCTGTTTAACACCCCCACCCCCATTAACCCCTACTAGCCCAGCCACATACCCTGCCCTAGGCTTACACCACCCGATTGTGTGTCTGCGGGTTATGCATATATGCATACAAGTTCTTTGGTTTTTCTCCTCTCACCCACCTACACACCAGCAACTTCCCTCTGAGATTCCACCGTCTGTCCCATGCTTCCATGTCTCTGGATCTATTTTGTTAATCAGTTTATTTTATTTATAAGATTCCACGTATAAGTAAGATCCTGTGATACTTGTCTTTCCCTGATTGGCTTATTTCGCTTAGGATAATATTCTCCAGGTCCCTCCATGCTGTCTCAAAAGGCCAGAGGTCTTTCTTTTTTTACTGCTGCATAGTGTTCCATATGTACATGTACCACGGCTATTTATCCACTCAACGCTGATTGGCACTTGGGCTAGTACCAGATGTTAGCTAATACACATTGTGCTGCAATGAGGTAGGAGTGAGTACATTTTTTCTGATTGGTGTTTTGGGTTTCTTAGCATATATATATAATTTTTTAAAAATATATTTTATTGATTTTTTACAGAGAGGAAGAGAGAGGAATAGAGAGTTAGAAACATCGATGAGAGAGAATCATGGATCAGATGCCTCTTGCACACTCCCTACTGGGGATGTGCCCACAACCAAGGTACATACCCTTGACCGGAATCGAACCCGGGACCTTTCTGTCCGCAGACCGATGCTCTACCACTGAGCCAAACCAGTTTCAGCAGTTTCTTAGCATATATTGTTTTAGTTGTTGTTGTTGTTGTTTTAAAAATATATTTTATTGATTTTTTTTTTTCAGAGAGGAAGAGAGAGGGATAGACAGCCAAAAACATCATCGACGAGAGAGAAACATTGATCAACTGCCTCCTACACCCCCCCCCCCCCCGACTGGGGATATGCCAGCAATCAAGGTACATGCCCTTGACCTGAATCAAACCTGGGACCGATCAGTCCGCAGGCTGATGCTCTATCCACTGAACCAAGCCGGTTAGGGCTCTTTTTAAAAATATATAGATATTTCTTTATTGATTTTAAAAAGGAAGGAAGAGAGAAAGAGAGAGAGATAGAAAACATCAATGAGGAGAGAAAATCATTGATTGGCTGCTTCTAGCATGCTCCCTACTAGGAATCAAGCCTGTGCCCTTGATGAGAATCAAACCTGGGTCCCATCCATCAGCAAGCTGACACTCTATCCACTGAACCAGACCAGCTAGAGAAGGTATTTTCCTTTAGTTTCTGGCTTGATTTTGTCATTATGTTGGTTCCATTTGTGTTTTCTTGTAGCTCAGGGATGTTTGTAAAAGTAAAAGTAGTTTGGATTTCTTATCATGCTGTATGTAGATATCCATTTGTTTCCTATTAATAAGTGGAAAATAATGTTTTCTTGGTAGTGTTTTTGTTTTCAGTTTGCTCTTTTTTTTTAAGTTTAACATATTTTATTTTTTAAAATATATTTTATTGATTTTTTTACAGAGAGGATAGAGAGTTAGAAACATCGATGAGAGAGAAACATTGATCAGCTGCCTCCTGCATATTCCCTACTGGGGTTGTGCCTATAACCAAGATAACCTGTCAGTCTGTTCGACCCTTATCCACTGAACCAAAACGGCCAGGGCCCAATTTATTTATTAAATCTAGTAGTTTATTGGTGAAGGCTTTCGGTTTTTCTATGTATAATATCATGCCATCTGCAAATCATGAGAGTTTTGCTTCCTCCTCTCTAATTTGGACGCCTTTTGTTTCTACTTGTCTGATCTCTGTGGTTAGGACTTCCTAGTGTGTTGAATAAAAGTGGTGAAAGCGGACACCCCTATCTGACTCCCATTCTTAGCACAGGGAAAATGGTTTTAATTTTTGCCCGTGTGGTATAATGTTGACTGTATGTTAGTCATGTATGACCTTTATTATGTTGAGATATGCTCCCTGTATTCCCAGTTTGATGTGAGTTGTTATCACAAATGGGTGTTGGGTTTCATAGAATGCTTTTTCTCTGTCTGTTGATATGATCATGGGAGTTTTGTCTTTCAGTTTGTTTATGGGATGTATCACATTTATTGATTTGTGAATATTGTACCAGCCGGCATCCCTGGAATGAATCCCACTTGATTATGGAGTATGCTCTTTTTAATATATTTGTAGATTCGATTTGCTATTATTTTGTTGAGAATTTTAACATCTGTGTTCATCAGGGATATTGGCCTATAATTCTCTTTCTTTGTAGTGTCTCTCTCTGGTTTTATTTTTTTATTTCATTTTTTATTTTTTTATATGTGATTTTTTAAAAAAATACATATATATATTATTGATTTTAAAAAAACACATATATTTTATTGATTTTTTACAGAGGAAGAAAAGACGGATAGAGTTGGAAACACTGATGATAGAGAATCATCGATCAGCTGCCTCTTGCACACCCCCTACTGGGAATGTCCCTGCAACCAAGGTCCATGCCCTTGACCGGAATCAAACCTGGCACCTTTCAGTCCCAGGCCGATGCTCTATCCACTGAGCGATACTGGTTTTGGCTATATTATTGATTTTTTACAGAGAGGAAGGGAGAGAGAGAGAGAATTAGAAACATTGCTGAGAGAGAAACATCCACCAGCTGCCTCCTACACACCCCCTACCGGGCATGTGCTTGCAACCAATGTATATGCCTCTGACTGGAATCGAACCTGGGATCTTTCAGTCCACATGCCCTACCCACTGAGCCAAACCGGTTTGGCTCTATCTGGTTTTAGAATTAGGTTACTGCTTTACTCATATAAAGAGCTTGGAAGTGTTCCTTCTTGAATTTTTTTGGAATAGTTTGAGGAGTATAGATGTTAGTTCTAATGTTTGGTAAAACTCCCCTGTGAAGCTGTCCAGACCCAGGCTTTTGTTTTGGGGGAGGTTTTTTTTTTTTTTTTTTTTTTCTTACTGCTTATATTTCATTCAGGTTTTCTGCTTCTTCCTGCTTCAGTTTTGAGAGATTGTATTTTTCTAGGAATTTGTCCTTTTCATCCTCATTGTCCAGCTTGTTGGTATAAACTGAGTTGCCAGATTATTATGATCTCCGAATGCATAATAATCTGGCCGCTTAGTGTATACCTATATAATAAAAGGCTAATATGCAAATTATCCCCTCAACCAGGAGTTCAACCAGCAGGCCGGCCGGCCCACGGCCCATGTCTCCTTACCTTGGCTGGGCTGGCTGGACCCCACCCATGTTTGAATTCATGCACCAAGCCTCTAAAACACACACACACACACTGTGTGGCCAGATTATTATGTGTTCAGAGATATGTGTTCAGAGATCATAATAATCTGGCCACTCAGTGTATACCAGTAATTGTTCATAGTATTTTCTTTTCTTTTTCTTTTTTTCTTTTTCTTTTTTTTTTATTGATTTTGTACAGATAGGAAGGGAGAGAGATAGAGAGAGTTAGAAACATCGATGTGGGAGAGTCATTGATCAGCTGCCTCTTGCACACCCCCTACTGGGGATATGCCCGCAACCAAGGTACATGCCCTTAACCGGAATCAAACCCGGGACCCTTCAATCCCCAAGCCGACGCTCTATCCATTGAGCCAAACCGGTCTCGGCCATAGTATTTTCTTAAAACCGTTCGTAATTCTGTGGTATCTGTTGTTACTTAACTGCTTTTTTTTTTTTTTTTTTTTTTTTGTCCTCTCTTTTTTTTTTCTTTTTTCTTTTTCTTCTCATTTTTTATTATGGTATTGTGTACATATCGTACCATTGGGTCCTCTCTGTTTCTTGAAGAGAGTGACTAATGTTTCATCATGTTTATTCTGTCAAAGAACCTGATCTTGGTTTCATTGATTTGAGATTATATATATATATATATATATTTTTTTTTTTTTAGCCTATGTGTTATTCTATTTTGGACTTTTCTTGTTCTTCAAGTTGTAGGGTTAAATATTTTTAAAAATATATAGTTTTAGTCCTAACTGGTTTTGCTCAGTGGCTAGAGTAGGGGTGTCAAACTCAATCAGAGAAGGGGCCAAAATCTAAAATCCAGCCTAAATCGCGGGCTGAATGGTTTACTGAACAGTCATAAACTGTCATTGTGATGGAAACGCAGCGGAGTGCAGTGATGACAGCGCGGTGCGGGCCACATTGCAAGGCCTGGCGGGACGGATTTGGCCCGCGGGCCTTGTGTTTGACACATGTGGGCTAGAGCATTGCTCTGAACGCACACAAGTTTGGTCTACTGCACAAAATCCATGCACATTAAAAGGGACATAATTAGAGGAAATATTTTAATATTTCTGTTTGCCCTTTCTCTGTAATGGAAGTGTCAGAGATGAAAGAAAATTAGTAAAATGTATACGAAAATAATATGTAAATAAACAATAACAAAATGATATAACGACAACAAAAGCATGATAGAAAAACAACAGTGATGCAAACAATGACTGATAAAGTGATTAAGCTTATTCTAATATCTCCCTTACACCACATTAAGAGTGAAAACACTTTCAGAGTGCTTACTAATTTCCCTTGTGATGAAGTATTTACAACTTTAACTATAACATGACATGCTCTTCGAACTCTAGAGAAAGCAACTTATAACTGACCATGTGCGAAAACAGGTTCAGATAGGAATATTCCTACTCTGTCTAGAGTTTGTCCTTGTGATTTATTAAGAGTCATCATGAATGCTGGCATCACGGAAAACTGTCATCAAATCAAATGGGAGGCCAGTGTCAGATTTGGACAAATCAATTGTTGGAATCAGAACAACCTTTCCGTCTGCAGATCCTGTTAATACTTCAGCTCCGATTATGTTAGGTCATAATCTTTTGATGATAAATCTAGTGCCATTACAAAGAACCTGTTTATTATTAAGATTTTTCAGTCCAAAACTGGTATGGCTCAGTGGATAGAGCGTCGGCCTGCGCACTCAAGGGTCCCAGGTTCAATTTCAGTCAAAGGCATGTACCTTGGTTGTGGGCACATCCCCAGTAGGAGGTGTGCAGGAGGCAGCTGATGTTTCTCTCTCACGATGTTTTTCTCTCTACTTCCCTTCCTCTCTGTAAAACTCAATAATTTTTTTTTTTTGATGGGCAAATTTTCCTTTTTAGCATCATCTATTGAATCAATGGAATCATCACTCAAACATGTGAGAAATCTCAATCGAGTATATCCAAAATTTCTTCACTTAATTTTTGAACATGCTTATTTTTTGTACAAAGAATCGCATGTTTCGATATATTTTTAATATTATCTATAGATATACTATTTCCAAAGGTAGGTAGCTTCACTAGTAGATCCATTATAAATTACAGTGATTTCAATAATATCCATTTCAAATTAAAACTGCTATAAAGTTTTCCATCCTCAAGTTTTACTAACCATTCACTATAAGTACAATCCTCTGTTCTCATATTGGTTCTAAGAGAAAACTTTCTGAAACATCCCCAAACAGTACAGTACTTAAAACTCGTTTGTACTATGGCCAATTGCATAGCATGCGGTACAACACGGAGACATTGTCGAAAATGCCCTCCGAAAAGAACTTTCCCACCAAAGGCAACATTCAAATCCATAATTTAGTAATCTTTCTATGGGGTTTATAGCATGACGGGATGCCATGGTGCATTTATCAGTAATGAGAAGTTTGACCTTTTTAATAGTTTTAGCAACTTCACTCTTTATATTGAGTCTAGAAATTGAAGTTTCCTTTAATGGAATTGGTAATTTATATTGGGAATGAAAAGTTTTTCACCCTAACTGGTTTAGTTCAGTGGATAGAGCATCTGCCTGTGGACTGAAAGGTCTCAGGTTTGATTCCTGTCAAGGGCACATGCCCAGTTTGTGTGCTATCCACAGTGAGGGGTGTGCAGGAGACGGCCAATCAAGGATTCTATCTCATTGATGTAGGCAGCTGATTGATGTTTCTCATCAATGTTTCTAACTTTTATCCCTCTCCCTTCCTCTCCGTGAAAAGTCAATAAAATATATTAAAAAAATAAAAGGTGCCGAAATTGGTTTGGCCTGTGGACTGAGGAGTCCCAGGTTCGATTCTGGTCAGGGGCATGTGCCTTGGTTGTGGGCGCATCCCCTGTGGGGGTGGGGGGGGAGGGCAGCTGGTCAATGTTTCTCTCTCATTGATGTTTCTAGCTCTCTGTCCCTCTCCCTTCCTCTCTGTAAAAGAAAGCAATTAAAAAAATATATATAAATATATATATGTGTGTGTGTGTGTGTGTATATATATATATATATATATATATATATATATTTTATTGACTTTTTATAGAGAGGAAGGGAGAGAGATAGAGAGCTAGAAACATGGAAGGGAGAGAGACATCGACCAGCTGCCTCCTGCACACACACACACACACACACACCAGAAATGTGCCCTTGACCAGAATCGAACCTGGGACCCTTCAGTCCGCAGACAGATGCTCTATCTACTGAGCCAAACCGGTTTCGGCAATAAAAATATATATATTTTTAAATAAAATAAAAAGATCTTCCACAGAGAATTAAATTTGTAGCAATTCCTGTAGATGCTGATGCTGTGGGTAAAACAGTACCACCACAACCTCTCCTATAATGTATTAAAACTTTATAAAGATGTTTTTCCACTACCACCTGGACCATCCAAGGAAAAGCATTTGGGGGGTACCGTTTGATTTTCAATGGCTTAAGTTATAATCTGAAACGCAGCTTCACCTCAGTGCTAGGGGGGAACTCATGCAGATGAATGGGAAGTCCCCATCCCCATTCCAGTCCACTAGTTTCTGCCTGCTTGTGCCTCCCTGGGGAGCAGCCCCCGCCCCCAAGGCAGCCTGGCATTAGCACTAGGAAGGCCTGGCACGCCTGCTCTGCAGGCTGAAGTTCCAGCCCCTGACCCCACCCACCAGCTCTGGTCATGACTGGGACACTGTTGGAACCAATTAGCATATTACCGCTTTATATAGATAGATTAAATGTCTTCACATTTCCTGAAGCAATTACTCCTTTAATCCTATGGAGCAGTTATGGCCTGAGAAATAGATTTATCTGCATGTGGGATAAAGGGTGTTGGCTAGGAGGGGTGTTGTTTTGATATTAGAAAAGATTCAAAAGCCTCGCCTCCTTGATGCTCTATGAGCTGAGGACATAATAACAAATAATGTATGATCCCACAATGACTTTGATAGCAATGTGTTTTAGTAACAATTGAGGGTGAAATATAGTGCTGGGAACATTCTGATTTCTGTGTCTATTCTATGGTAGGTCGTGGCCAAAAGTATTTCTCTGATAATTCATGCCAGCAAACACTAAATGGTCCTTTGATATGTAAATTGTGGGGAGTTCACAGATGTTATATGGGCTTTTGCGGTTTTGCAAAACACATGATTCCAGTGTATTTCACACAGCAGTCCACTCATGTTAGTGTGGTTACTCTGACTCTGTTTTTTTTTTTTTTTTTTTTTTACTTTTTTTATTTTATTGATTTTTTATAGAGAGGAAGGGAAAGAGATAGAGAGCTAGAAACATCGATGAGAAACATCGACCAGCTGCCTCTTGCACACCCCCTACTGGGGATGTGCCCGCAACCAACGTACATGCCCTTGACCGGAATCGAACCTGGGACCTTTCAGTCCACAGACTGACGCTCTACCACTGAGCCAAACCGGCTTCGGCTGACTCTGGTTTTTAACCCTAGCTATCTTCAAATATATTTGATTACCCATCTTCCCAGTCATCCTTTTTTGCACTTTTGCATTGCTCTTTTTCTTTATGGAGATCGTATTTCTGTCTCTGGGGTTGTTTATTGTTTTTTGTGGATACCTGTCTACTTATTCTGGCAGGGAGATAAATTCTATTTTCTATTTTGCTATACTATTGCTGCTGTCACTCACACAATTTATTATTATTATTCTGTTTTTGTTTTGTTTTTTTAATCTGATTTCTTCATTGCTCCCTTGTTCTACCAAATTACTGGCCATCTATCTTTTCAGTTTTTCTTTGAAGATTTCTGTCATTTGTATCCAATGGAATTTCTAAACTGGGATTTAAAGGAAATAATCATTTGTGCATTATAGGAGAAAGATGGGTACATCCATGGCTGGGTGGACCCAGAGGCCATCTTGCCTTGGTGAAGGGCTGTTGGATAGAGTTTGACACGAGACATTTATTAAGATTATAAGTAAGAAATTATTTTGCTCAACATTGTATTGTTTCCATTGCCAGTGCTGTACCCCATTCTACTTGTGCTTTCTTATTATTGACACTTTGCAAACTACTCAGTTTTTTAATTTATTTTTATTTTTTTAAATATTGTATATTGTAATGACTTTTTACAGAGAGGAAGGTAGAGGGATAGAGAGTTAGAAACATCGATGAAAGAGAAACATCGACCAGCTGCCTCCTGTATACCCCACACTGGGGATGTGCGCAAAACCAAGCTACATGCCCTTGACCGAATCGAACCTGGCCAATGCTCTATCCACTGAGCAAAACTAGTTTCGGCAACTACTTATTTTTTTTCTTTTCTTTTTTCTCTCTTTTTTTTTTTTTTTTTTTTTTAATGTTTTTCTTTATTTTAGACACAGAGGAAGACAGGGAAAGCGAGAGAGGGAGAGAGAGAAAGAGAGAGAGAAGAGAGAAAAACATTGATTGGTTGCCTCCTGTATACAGCCCAAATAACGGTTGAACCTAGAACCTGGGCATGTGCTCTGACAGGGATTCGATCTAGCTACCTTTCGATGGAAAGGATGATGCTCCACCAACTGAGCCATTCTACCTATGGCTAAACTTCTCCATTTTAGCCATTACTATTTCTACTTAGGTTTCCTGCTTATGGATAATCTTTACCTCTCTAAACTTTGTACCTCAACTGTTACCCATACAGGCTCCTCTTTGGTCCATGACTTTAGAGCCATATTATTTTAGTCATACATATGTGATGTAATGCAGTAGGTTTTAATATGTTTGGGCACATTCACATTGTTCCACATAGACTGCCTCATCAGTTTGAATGGTCCTACAGGAAGCTCTTTATAAAGGAACAATTAGTGGGCTCTGCATCTCTTGTTTGTGTTCCATCTTATGTTCATGGCCCTCCTTTAGTAAAGTCTCCACTATTGACTGACCTTAGGGGTCAAGTAATGTATACCAGCCATTTCCTCAGAGTCTAACTTACCGGTCTTGAAAAGCATCCCATGCACTCAGGCCTAGCTGTGACAGATACACATTTGAGATGAGGGTATTTCTTCCTTCTAAAGTCATCATGTATTTCACCTGCCTTTCCTTTTATTCAGGTTGCTGCTGTGGAGCAGAGAATGTGGAGGAACCTCTTGAAGAGAACATTTCAGTAGGAGTGTCACAGGCAAGGAATCCCAAGTTAGCTTTGTCTTCCCAGAAGAGCCACCCTTGTGAGAGTTGTGGACTAGTTTTGAGAAACATTTTCCATGTGACTCATCAGCAGGAATTACAACACAGGCAGATTCTATTGAGGTGTGGAGCATGTGCACAGCAATTTTATTTCAATGCACCATTTCACCAGCACCAGCAGCACTTGAGAGAAAAGCCTTTGATAAGAGGTGTGAACTCGGTCTCACTTGAAGAGGGCTGCAATTTCAATGTGTTTCAGAAGCTTTTTAGCTGTGGAGAGGTGGGGCAGGACATCCTTAGCACGGCAGGGCTTCTCCAGCAAACTCAGATCAGTGACAACCTGAATGGTATCTCGATGTGTGGGGTGACATATCAAGAGGAAAATAATTATTTTACTAATAAAGAATGTGATAAATTCATCGGCTCTAACTACATATGTGATTGGGACAAGGGTGTCCCTACTGGAAAAGCGTATTTCAGTTGCCGTGAATGTGGAAAATATTTTTCTCGATTTTCTACTTTTTGTTATCATCAGAGATTTCATGCAGAAAAAAAGCTTTTTGAGAACAGCGAATGTGGGACATCTTTTACCAGTAGTATTGGCCTCTTTTATTATCAGAGATGTCACACAGGTGAAAGGCCTTATCAATGTATTGAATGTGGAAGATCTTTTACCAGGATCAGTAACCTTCGTGATCATCAGATAGTTCACACTGGAAAAATGCCTTATGAGTGCAGTGAATGCGGAAAATCTTTTACCTGTAGTAGTGGCCTCCGTTATCATCAGATGAGAGTTCACACTGGAGAAAGGCCTTATGAGTGCAATGAATGTGGGCAAACTTTTGTCAATAGTAGTGGCTTCCATTATCATCAAAAATTGCACTCTGGAGAAAGGCATAAGTGCAATGAATGTGATAAATCTTTTAACAGTATCTATTATCTTCGTTACCATCAGAGAGTTCACACTGGAGAAAGGCCTTATGAGTGCAGTGAATGTGGGAAATCATTTACTCAGAAATATGGCTTCCATTGTCATCAGAGAATTCACACTGGAGAAAGGCCTTTTAAGTGCAGTGAATGTGGGAAATCATTTACGCGGAAAAATGTCCTTAATCGTCATGAGAGAATTCACACAGGTGAAAAGTCTCATGTGTGCAGTGAATGTGGAAAATCTTTTACCTGTGGAAGTAGCCTCCGTTACCATCAGATGGGAGTTCACACTGGAGAAAGGCCTTATGAGTGCAATGAATGTGGGAAATCTTTTACCAGTAGTAATGGCTTCCGTCGTCATCAGAGAATTCACACTGGAGAAAGGCCTTATGAGTGCAATGAATGTGGGAAATCTTTTATCAGTGGTAGTAGCTTTCGTCGTCATCTGAGAGTTCACACTGGAGAAAAGCCTTATGTGTGTGGTGAGTGTGGGAAGTCTTTTACCACCAAATATTGCCTTGGTTCTCATCAGAAAATTCATGCTAGAGAAAGGTCTAATGAGTCTAGTTAATATGGGAAATCTTTTAGCCAAAATTTTAACCCTACTCCCCATATAAGAGTTCTCATTGGAGTAAGGTCTTAGATATGCAGGAAATGTAGATTTTTTTTTTTTTTGTTCAACCCTAACAGTACTATAAGAAACTCCATGAAGCCCTATTTGTGTGACCTGAACCTCATACACTGCAACATCAATAGTAGGAGATTCCCAATAAATATGAGTGCTGTAAAAATCGTGTGTGTGTGTTTTGCACTTTTTTTTATTAAGTTTTTACTAATTTCACAAGAAAAAGATGAGGGAGAAATAAATAGAAATGTCAGTGATGACACATATTATCGATCATCTCCCTCCTGCGTGTCGTTTACTGGGGGTTGAACATACAACCTGAGCATGTTACCTTGAAGGAAAACCTACTGAGCCACACATGTATGTTACAATTTGTTATTTATACAGGAGTCTTGCCAGATCTATATCACCACATCCTGGTTTGTTTTTTGTTTTCTTCTACATCTATGTCCTATCACCAGGTTGACAAATTCTGTCAATCTGTTTTTTATAATATATTTTTATTGATTTCAGAGAGAGATGGAAACTTTACAAAGATTAATGATGAGAATCATTGGCTGCCTCCTGCATGCCCCCTGTTGGTAATCGAGCCTGAAACTTGATCATGTGCCCTTGACTGGAATTGAACCTGGGACCCTTTAATACACAGGCCAAGTGTCTATCCACTGAGCCAAACCAAATAGGGGTGTCGATTTTTTTCTTTAAATTTGTATTTTTCTTAAATTTATTTTTATTGATTTAAAAAAAGGAGAGGGGGAGATAGAAACATCAATGGTGAGAGAGAGTTATTGATTGGCTGTCTCCTGCCCATCCCCAGGAGACAACTGGGGATTGACCCTACACCCCCAGGCCTGTGTCCTGACCCGAAATTGAACCATGACCTGTTTTATAGGTCCAGTCTCACCCACTGAGCCACACCGTGTATCTCACTACATATTCTGGTTGATGAAGCTATTTCTCCTGGTCCACCTTTATGGCTTTCACAAATTGCATCGATCACCTTCCTCATGTGCTCAGGAAAGCTGTTCTCTGATTTGTTTGAGAAAATTGAGAGCAGCCTGAGCTTGTAAGAGGTCTTATTTCCTTGCTCTCTTACTAGTTGCCATATGGACCTGACTCAGTGTTGTTCCCATAGAACATCACCTGAGTTCAGCGAGCAGCTTATAGAATAACTACCTTTCCCAGGGACAAGTTTTTTATTTATTTATTTTTAATATATTTTATTGATTTTTTACATAGAGGGATAGAGAGTTAGAAACATCAACGAGAGAGAATCATCGATCAACTGCCTCTTGCACCACCCCTACTGGGGATGTGCCCACAACCAAGATACATGCCTTTGACCGGAACCAAACCCTGGACCTTTCAGTCCACAGGCCGACGCTCTATTCACTGAGCTAAACCGGTCTCAGCTGAGACAAGCTTTTTAATTTCTGTGTTCTACTTACTGTCTGTAGTAGTTAATAAGCAGATTCGGATTCTATCCGCATCAGGAGGTGAACAATTTTCTGGTCATCTCAAACTTTCTCTGCCTAGGGGAGAATGACATGCAGAAATTAGCACCTCAGTTTAGGCCAGATTTGCATTGCTGCGTTATTTTCCCTGCCCTCATAATAAGCCTGATGCTATCAGTTTTAGCAGAGTTTCAGATCACTACAAAGAGTGGCTAGCTGCCAAGACCGGTTTGGCTCAGTGGGTAGAACGTCAGCCTATGGACTGAAAGTTCTCAGGTTCGATTCTGGTCAAGGGCATGTACTTTGGTTGCGGGCACATCCACAATAGGGGGTGTGCAGGAGGCAGCTGATTGATGTTTCTCTCTCATCGATGTTTCTAGCTTTCTTTCCCTCTTTCCTCTCTGTAAAAAATCAAAATATGCCCCTTGATAGCATTCCACAAAACCACTAATTTACATTCTACAATATCTAAAATAGATAACTGCAATTTCTGAACTTTATCTTATGGGAATCTGAGTTTTTTTCCTGCTCTTTACGTTGTATAAATGTTTAGAGGTTTATTATTGATATATTAGTAGCTCATCTTTTTTTGTGTGGAGAAATGTAGCATGCTTTAGTCATTTGATAGGCTCATTTCTAATGTTTACTTTATTTAAATTGCTACCGACATGTTCCTAGAACTCTTTATGGGGATGTGTTTCATTTACCCTTGTCAGTAACTCTACATAGTTTTCAGTTGTTGGGTAGATGAATGTTTAACTTAGAGATATTTGCAATTAATGATTGACACTGATTGGCCTGCGTGCATTTTCCAGCAGCGTATGAGGGATTCAGTTCCTCCTCGTATTAGAGAATCCTTAGTTTGGTCAATCATTTTTTATTTAGACATTTTTTAAAACTTTGTCATGGTAACTCACTATTTGATTGCTTTCTCCTAAGGATTAATGGCAGTGGTTCTCAACTTGTGGGTCGCGACCTCTTTGAGGGTCGAAAGAACCTTTCACAGAGGTCGCCTAAGACATCCTGCGTATCAGAGATTTACATTACGATTCATAACAGTAGCAAAATTACAGTGATGCAGTAGTCACGGAAATAATGTTATGGTTGGGGGTCACCTCAACATGAGGAGCTGTATTAAAGGGTCGCGGCCTTAAGACGGTTGAGAACCACTGATTTACGTGAGGACATAGGACCTTCCCGGGGTGTGTTCTTGCTACCTTTGTATCTCTGTTAAAATGTTTGGTCCTGGGTTCTGCCTACTCTGCTTTGCGTTTTGTCTGTTTTAACAAAAGGAGAGTGAAACAACCAAGATGGAAGTTGGGATTTCATGTGGTGCCTTTCTGGCTTTATGGAATAAAGGTTTTTTGGTTTCGAATGACATGTCCTAATGTCTTTTACTTTTTTCCTGCCATACACCATGCAACAGACACTTTTCATTTTAACTCGCACTATGAACACACACTATCGCTTTCAGAACACCAGCCATCCGGTCCTGCACTAAGCCCTGGCTTTTCAGTCTTCTTCATCTTCCTGGTCTCCTGTCATGGGGGTTCTTGGGTTGGGACAGGTCCTTCAGGAGGACCAGGCATCAGGGTGGGCAGGGTGTTACAGAGTCCCAAAGCCAGTGCAGAGGGAAAAGGGGGGACAGGGATCAGACTCCTTGCCCTGGGTCAGGCATTTTGGATTTGAATCCCAGATTGCCGAATATTGCTGGGATTCTCAGGAAAAATGACCCCTTCCTCGCCTGAGCTTCATTTTCTCCTCCTCAACCTATGAGGTACATCTCTGTCCCTGAGCTGTCGGAGGAAGTCCAATGCTAACATGCCTATTTGCTGTGTGACATCTATGCTGGTGGCCTGCCTGTGCTCAGGCAACTCTAGCCTGTGAGTATAGAGACATTTCGGGCCAGACATTCCTCAATGCTGACGAGCACCTTTTACGTTGGGGTGTATTTGAGAAAGAAACGAGGCTCATGAGAAGCGTCTGACCCACCTGCAGGGAGGCAGGTGCTGTGGGCCCTGAGGTCTCAGTGTAGGTTCTTCACCTGCAAATCTCCAGGTGACTCAGAGCTCCCTGAATCTCATTGGGCTGAACGTGACATCAAGGCGACATTGACACTTAACCTCCGAAGATCAATTAAAAACCCGCTGAGTCCTTGCTGGTGAGAAGATTCTGGGATTAGCTCTCCGAGCATTTTCTTCTTTTAATTTATTTATATATTTTATTGATTTTTTACAGAGAGGAAGAGAAAGGGATAGAGAGCTAGAAACATCGAAGAAGGAGAAACATTGACCAACTGCCTCCTAAACATCCCCCACTGGGGATGTGCCCGCAACCAATATACGTGCCCTTGACTGGAATCTGGGACCCTTCAGTCCACAGACCAAGGCTCTATCCACTGAGCCAAACCGGGTTCGGCTGAGCATTTTTTTCAATTCTCACAACCACCTGGTAAGTGGAAACTAATTTCAAATTGCTGTGAACATTAAAGATTAGAGAGGTTTTGCAAGTTGACTCAACAGACTTGTGTCTGGTGTAGGAGTCTGGATTCCAACATGGGATTCTGGCTCCAGAACCTGGGATAGTCTGGCCCCTCGAGGTACATTGCGAGGATCAGGAAGGCACAGTTAAAGGTGCTCTTTCCATTGTTGCAAATATGATTTTTCTAAGATGTCAGAGCGCTTACCCTTGGCCTCCCAGTATCCAGGGGAGTGCCATCATTTATCAGCTGCAGTGGATGTGTCTCTCTCATGATGCCCATATCTCTCCCTATCTTTCTATAAAAAAATTTTTTTTTAATTAAAAATAAAGTTTATACTATGTATCGTTCTTTTTTATTTCAAAAGTGTGTCCTACATTTCTGTGTTATATTTTTCACATTCACATATGATGGTGTAAGTAGGTCATAGATGGGATAACATGTTCTAGATTCTTTGGGCTCAAAGATAATGTGTTTTCATTGGCATGCACTCAAGACTCTTCAACAGGAAAGGATGACAACTTCCTTTAGCCATTTCCAAGATGCCTCTTCCATGCGATGTGATATCTCTTAGTCCTCCAGAGGCTGACCTGGGTTCTTTCTCCTGGATGAGGCGGGGACTGACCCACATCATCCAACGACCAAAGATAAAATCCCCCGGGAACCAATGAAGAGTCAGAGAACGCGTTTCCGGCAGCTCTTAGAGGCGGGACTTCCTGTGTCCTCAAGGTAGGCCTTTTCACTAAGGTTGGTGCCAGCTACCTCATCCTAGATTCCCGATCGCCAGGTCCTAGTGGAGCTGCCCCGAGGGGAAAGTTGCCAGGGTGGTGGTCCATCCAGCACACGCGCGGGGGCGAAGATGGACCTGGGGACGTGGGGAACCCTCTCCCCGGCCGGACCGGCCCCGCCATCCACCAGCTGACTCCTACACACCCCCTACTGGGAACGTCCCTGTAACCTAAGTACATGCCCTTGAGCGGAATCAAACCCAGGACCTTTCAGTCTGCAGACCAAAGCTCTGAGCCAAACCGGTTTCGGCTTAAACTTCTTCTAACACCACTTCTTTAAAATAGATTCACCCAGGCCGTGGCATTTTGTGGAAGAGCCACACTCAAGGTGCTCAAAGAGCCGCATGTGGCTCTAGAGCCGCAGTTTGACCACCACGGTCCATGAGTGATGGGGGGCAAACCCTGCCTACCTGCGGCCTTGAGCTCCAGGAACTACATTACCCAGAAGACCTTGCGTGGAATTCCTCCAGCTGAACCAATGAAAGGCCAGAAAAGGCTTTCACGATGATGGACAGGGCGCAGGGGCGGGACCTCCAGCGTCCACCCGGCATCAGCTTAGCTACCTGGCCGGGTTGTCCACATTGTCCGGGTCCCTGTGGAGATGCCCGGACAGAGAACGGGCGGTAATCGCGGTGCACACAGCACACACGCGAGAGTGAAGCTCGGCGCGGTCACCATGGTGACCCGCTCCGCGGCCCGGAAAGAGGCGGCCGCTCCTCCCGCCGCTCCGGCCCCGCGCGGCCCACAGAGCGCGATGGCGGCGCCCGCGCTGAGGCGCCGGGCTGAGGTGAGTGCCAGACCCCCTCCCCAACCCTCACCCCCCACAACCTCACCCCGCCCCCCACAACTCCGCCTCATCCCGCACCCCACAGCCCGGTGCGGGCCTGTCCCTCCTGCAGCTCCGTCCGCGGGGAGGACAGGGGTGCCCGGCCTCTAAGGTTCCCCTGAGGGTGTGGCTGTGAGGATTGGCGGGCAGATCGGAGGCTGCAGGGAGGCCGTCACAGCCTCATGGGGGCTTTCCCGGCTGTGGGGTACCTCAGGGGCCTGGGGTGGTCCTGGACCCGCTGGAAGACAGGCTTCTCCACATGCCATGTGCCAAGTGCATGGGGGAGTCCAGCGAGACCCAGTGGCATTGGAGCAGGAAGGGGGCAGAGCTGAGGGAGTGAACCTGGGACTGAAGATGGGAAGGGGATAAGCATTACCCAGTGTGTGCACATCTGGAGGGAGTGTGAGCTGATGGTTCCCGGGACCTGGTGTGGGGACATAAGGGGGAAGCATAAACCCAGGCTTGGCTTTGTCTGGGGGCCATGATCTGGGAGACTGCAGTGGGATTGCTTGGCAGGAAGGCTGGGGCCCTGCAGGCATGGCCCAGAGCTTAGATGATGTTTCTCTGCTGGCCCCCTTTCCAACCCATGTGTTGTGCTGAGGGCAAACCCAGTGAGTGATGAGAGAGCAGCCTGCACGGGCATTAGGGCTTGGTGTCCACACTAACCGGGTGCCCTGGGGGAGGTTGCGGGGGAGGAGGAGGGAGAAGGTGTGTAAGGAGTAGGAGTGGGGGTTCTCAGAGACAGCTCTGGTTTCAATTGTCTCCATTCTGACAGGTTTGCGTGACCTTGGAGGACATTGCCCTGTACTTCTCCAGGGAGGAATGGAGCCTCCTTGATGAGGGTCAGAGACAGCTGTACCTGAATGTGATGCTGGAGAACTTTGAACTTGTGTCCTCGCTGGGTAAGACCCTCACTGTCACCAGTGACCTGGACTTGGCTTTGCATTTCCCCAGCCCCTTTTCCCAGGTTGCTCTCTCCTCACATGTGGGCTATGGGCATTGCATGTTTTCCAGTTTTCTGGGCAGTTGCTGTCCTTTGCTTGCACTGCTGGCTGCTCTCTGTGCCGCCCCAATACCTGCTGCACTGAACTCACAGGGAAGAATATGTGGTTGGTAGGGTGGCAGGGAGCCAAATGAATTAAACCCCGATTAGCGAAGAAAAGCATTTTCTATATTTCTGTTGGTCATTTGTTCATATTTTTTGGGGGGAAATTGTCTACATCCTTTGCCTGTTTTTTAACCATACTTTTTCGACTATGTACTCAAAATAGTTGCTGTATTTTATATATCAATTTGTTTTCACCTACATTTAAGCACATGTCTTTTTTGGATGCATTTAATTGTTCTTAGCAGATATTGTGTAGGTTTTTTGTTTTGTTTTGTTGCCCCCCCCCACCCCCCCAAATTCCCTGTTTTGGACAGTCCTGCATTCAGGAAGTGCTCAGATGCTGTTTACTGGTGTTTACTGAGAAAGTATTTATTCTTTGTGATAAACTATTTTTAATTGAGGCCTGCAGAATTTTTTGGGTTTTTCTTTTAGGCAGAGATATTGCGTTAATATCTGCAGAGAGTGTTCACATTTTTAATTTATTTTATTTATTTAAAAAAAATATTTTTTATTGATTTTTTACAGAGAGGAAGAGAGAGGGATAGAGAGAAACATCGATGAGAGAGAAACATCGATCAGCTGCCTCTTTTACACCCCGCACTGGTGATGTGCCCACAACCAAGATACATGTCCTTGACTGGAATCGAACCTGGGACCTTTCAGTCCGCAGGCCGATGCTCTATCCACTGAGCCAAACCGGTTTTGGCTAGTGTTCACATTTTTTAAAATGTATTTAGTGATTTTTAAAGAGAGAGGGAGAGAGAAAGAGAAACATCGATGTGAGAGCAGAACATTGCCTACCTCCTGCACGCCCTCACCAGGGATGAAGCCCACAACCAACCCTGGCATGCACACTGACTGGGAATAGAAGCAACAGCCTTTCCCAACATGGAGTGGCGCCCAAACAATTGAGGCACAGTAGCCAGGGCAATATATCTTTATTATTCTCTGGAAAATAAAAAAAATTTGTGTGGCTTTCTGTCTAGATGGCGATATTTGCTTTATTGTGGGGATCTGAACCATATCGACTGAGCCAAACCGGTTTCGGCTGCGTGAAATATTTTTTTCATCCGATTCTCTTCAGCCTATTTGTGTCCATAAAGTGTTAGTGTATCTTGTAGGCAGCATATATTGCCTCTGGTTTGTTGTTAGTGGTGTTCTTTTGTTTTTATCTTTTCAGTCACTGTCTTTTGATTTGGGAATTTGTTTTAGGGCCTACTGGTGACACTTTAACATTGTTTCTGGTTTCTGGCTTTTTTGTATTTCCTTTGTCTTCCTGTCTTGTGATTGTCCTTTGTGATTTGACAATTTTGTATAATGGTTTTAGTCCTTTCTCTTTTGGGTATCTGTTACATAGGTTTTTGCTTGTGGTTTCCAAGAGACTTACATAAAACAACATATACTCTTTATAATCTGTTTTTATCCTGACAGCACCTTCAATTTTATACCAAAATTCTATCTTTGACTCTTCTCCAGCACCCTCCCTTATATGTTTTGATATCACATTTCACATCTTGTCATATTGGTCATCTTCTAAGGTACACATTATTAGCTTCCCTATTTTTGCTAGTTCTCAATTTTAACTTTCATAATAGAGGTTTCATAATGTACATTCCGCCAATGCATGTTACAATATTATGAATTTTATTCCATTCTCGACTTTATGAGAGAGATTTACATTTTGCTTTGTATTCTTGTTTCTATTTAGTGTTCTTTCATTTCATCTTGAAGAACTTTTGACAGTTCTTTTTTATTATTTTTTATTGTTTAAAGTATTATATATATTAGTATATATATATTCCCCCCATTGACCTTCCCCCAGCCTCCCCTACCCCCTGTGGCATGCCCTCATCCCACTCCCCACCCCCATTGTCTCTTGTCCATTGGTGTGCTTATATGCATGCATACAGATCCTTTGGTTGATCTATTTCCCTCCTTCCCTAACACTCCCCAGCCTTTTCACTGTAATTTCACAGTCTGTTCGGTGCTTTTCTGCCTCTGTATCTATCTTTTTATTCATCAGGTTATAATGTTCTTTATTTTCCATAAATGAGTGAGATCATGTGATATTTTTCTTTCATTGCCTGGCTTATTTCACTTAACATAATGCTCTCCAGGTCCGTCCATGCTGCTGCTTGACCGTTCTAATAAGTCATATTGAGATGAACTTCCTTAGGCTTTCTTTGTCTGAAAAGCTATTTCTTCTTTCTAAAGAACAGGTTTTCTGGATAAATTATTAATGGTTTTCATAGAATATTTTTTGAAAATACCTTTTCATTGATTTTTAGAGAGAGCAGAAGGGGGAGGGATATATCAATAGAAACACCAATGAGAAAGAAACATCATTGATTGGCTGTCTCCTGTATGCCCCCTTGGGATGGAGCCAGTAACTCTGGCATGGACCCTGGTTGGGAATCGAACCATGATTTCTTGATTCCTGAGTCAAAACTCAATCAGTGAGCAACACCAGCCGAGCTCATGAAGTATTTTGAAAATATCATTATATTTCCTCTTAGAATGCAAGTTATCTTTGGAGAAATATACTGATTCCCTTATTCAGGCATTTTCCTATGTGCAAAGAGTTTCTCTTTTCTTTGTGCTTTCACAATTCTCTTTGCCTTTGTTTTTCTGATATTTTAATTATGCTGTGTCTTGGTAAAATCCAATTTGTATTGAATCTGTACAGGGACCTGTGAGAGTTAATGCACTTGATTATTCACATCTCTTACAGGTGTGAAGTCACTCTTCAGGTGATTTTATTTATTTATTTATAATATTTTTATTGATTTCAGAGAGGAGAGGAGAGAGAGGGAGAGAAATAGAAACACCAGTGACGAGAGAGAATCATATCGATCAGCTGCCTCCTGCACGACCACCTATTGGAATCTAGCCTGCAACCTGGGAAAGTACCTTCGACGAAAATCAAACTCAGGACCCTTCAATCCACAGGCCAATGCTCTATCCACTTAGCCATACCAGCCAGGGCTTATTATTATTATTATTATTTTTTTAAATAAACGTTCTAGGCCTCTTTTTTCCCCCCTGCCTATTCTTTTTCTGTCTCTTCTGGCCACCCAGTGTTTCCTAAGATTTCCATAATGCAAATGTTGTATCTCTTGATGATGTTACTTAATTCACATTCCTGTATTCTTTTTTAAAAAATATATTTTTATTTATTTTAGAGAGGAAGGGAGAGGAGTAGAGAGAAACATCAATCATGTGAATCATTGATCTTCTGCCTCCTGCATGCCCCCTACTATGGATCAAGTCTGCAGCCCAGGCATGTGCCCTAACCAGAATTGAACCTGGGACTTTTCATTCTGAAAGCCTATGTTCTGTCCACTGAGCTAAACCGGCCAGGGCACATTCCTGTATGCTTTAAATTTATTTTTCTTCTTTTTTATCTCTCCACTTGGGTGATTTCAAATGATGTGTCTTTGATATCACATATTCTCTCATGTCTGATTTTGATACTCTTCATTGTACCGGTATGTTTTTATTTCATTCATTGTATTTTGTCAACTCCACCATTTGTTTCATTCTTTTTTATGATTCCTACCTGATATTCTCCTTTTGTTTCTGTGTTGGTTTCTTCATTATGTTGGTTCCATTTGTGTTTTCTTGTAGCTCATGGATGTTTTTTTTTGTTTTGTTTTTTTCATGGATGTTTTTAACGGTAAATATTTTAATATATTTTATTGATTTTGTACAGAGAGGAAGGAAGAGTGATAAAGAGTTAGAAACATTGATGAGAGAAAATCATTATCAGCTGCCTGTTGCACACCCCCCACTGAGGATATGCCCGCAAGGTACATGCCCTTGACCAGAATCAAACTCGGGACCTTTCAGTCCCCAATCCGAAGCTCTATCCATTGAGCCAAACCGGTTTTGGCCTAAAGGTAAATATTTTAGCCCTGACTGGTTTGGCTCAGTGGATGGAGGGTTGACTGTGGACTGATTCCAGTTCAATTCCAGTCATTTTCCCAACTTGGTTGCAGGCAACTCCCCAGTGGAGGGTGGGCAGGAGGGAGCTGATCTATGTCTCTCTGTCATTGATGTTTCTGGCTCTCTCTCCCTCTCCCTTCTTCTCTGTAGAAAAATCAATAAAATATATACTTTTTTAAAAAGGTAAATATTTTAATTTCTAATCACACTGCACATACAGACAGACAGACATTGATGTGACAGAAACATTGGTTTACTGCTTCCTGTATACAACCCAAACAATTGTTGTACCTGCAGCCTGGTCATGTGTCCTAACCAGATTTCTATTTGGCAAAATTTCCATGCACAAGACCATTCCCAACCAACTAAGCCACACCAGCTAAGGCACAACTACTCAGTTTTGTTTTGTTTTGTTTTAATATATTTTATTGATTTTTTTACAGAGAGGAAGAAAGAGGGATAGAGAGTTAGAAACATCGATGAGAGAGAATCATCAATCAGCTGCCTCTTGCACACCCCCCACTGGGGATGTGCCCAAAACCAAGGTACATGCCCTTGACCGGTATCGAACCTGGGATCTTTCAGTTTGCAGGCTGACGCTCTATCCACTGAGCCAAACCGGTTTCGGCCAACTACTCAGTTCTAATAGTTACTATTTGTAATTGGATTCCCAGCTTGTGAATAATCTTTACTTCTCTAATGTTTGCATCTGAACTGCTTGACTCACAGGTTTCTCTTTACTGCACTTCAACTTTGGTTCATGTCTTTTGAGCCTTTGGTATGTGCCCATTATATTAACTTTATATGTCATGTGCTGTAATACAATGGATTTTTAAAAATATATATATTTTATTGATTTTTTACAGAGAGGAAGGGAGAGAGATAGAGAACCAGAAACATCGATGAGAGAGGAACATCGACCAGCTGCCTCCTGCACACCCCCCCGCTGGGGATGTGCCCATAACCAACGTACATGCCCCTGACCGGAATCGAACCTGGGACCCTTCAGTCCGTAGACTGATGCTCTGCCACTGAGCCAAACTGGCTTCGGCTACAATGGATTTTTATGTCTCTGAAAAACCTATGTAATAGATACAGAAAAGAGAAAGGACTAAAACTATAATACAAAATTATCAAATCACAAAGGACAATCACAAGACAAGAAGGCAAAGGAAATACAAGAGAGTGAAAAACCAGAATGTGTGCGGACTAATTTAAATTTGAGCACATTTAAATTAGTCCCCACAGACTTGTGTACACTTGTATGAAAAGTCCTACAGACAGCTGTTTGTAAAGAAACAACTAGTGGAGCCTGTATCTCTTTTTTGTGTCCCTCCCTTCATAGTATCTTCACTATTGACTGACTTTAGGGGTCAAGTAATGTATAACAAACATTTTGTCAGAGTCTAACTCACTGGTCTCAAAAATCATCCCATAAAAATCATGCCTAGCCCTGACTGGTTTGGCTCAATGGCTAGAGCATCATTCTGCCAACTGAAGGGTCACAGGTTCGATTCTGATCAAGGGCATGTACCTTGGTTATGGGCACATCCCCGGTAGAGGGTGTATAGGAGGCAGCTCATCAATGTTTCTCTCTCATCGATGTTTCTAACTTTCTATCCCTCTTCCTTCCTCTCTGTAAAAAAATAAATAAAATCATTATTAACAAAAATAATAATAATCATGCCTAGCTGTGACAGATGGACTTTTCTGATGAGGATATTTCTTCCTGCTAAGATCACCATGTACTTCACCTGCATTTCCTTTTTTTTTTTTTAGGTTGCTGTTGTAGAGCAGGGAATATGGAGGCACAGCTTGAAGAGAACATTGCTGTAAGAGTGTCACAGGCAAAGAATACCAAGTTAGCTTTGTCTTCCCAGAAGAGCCACAACCCCTGTGAGAGTTGTGGATTAGTCTTGAGAAACATTTCCCATTTGATTGAGCAGCAGGAATTACAAGACAGGCAGATACTGTTGAGGTGTGGGGCATGTGCAAAACAATTTCAATTCCAGGCACAATTTCACCGGCACCCGGAGCAGCACTTGAGAGAGAAGCCTTTGATAAGAAGTATGGACAACATCTCACTTGCAAAGGGCTGCCATTTCAGTACGTCTCAGAAACTTTTTACCTGTGGAGAGGTGGGGCAGGACATCCTTACCGAGTCAGGACATCTCCAGCAAAAGGCTACTCAGACCAGGAACAGACTAAATGACATCTCAATGTGTGGGGTGACGTTTCAAAAGAGGAAAACTTATTACTCCAGAAAAGAATGTAAGAAAGCCAATGGCTGTAACCACACGTTTCTTCAGAACAAGAGTGTCCATCCTGGAAAAGAGGGTTTCTGGTGCCGTGAATGTGGGAAATCCTTTACCAGATTTTCTACTTTTTGTTATCATCAGAAATTTCACTCGGGAGAGGGGCCTTATAACTGCATTGAATGTGGGAAATCTTTTCCCAGTAGCACTGGCTTTCATTGTCATCTGAAAATTCACACTGGAGATAGGCCTTATCAGTGCAGTGAATGTGAGAAAACTTTTACTACTAGCAGTGGTCTCCGTTATCATCAGAAAGTTCACACAGGACAAAGGCCTTATCAGTGCAGTGAATGTGGGAAATCTTTTATCACTAGTGCTCACCTTCATCGTCATCAGAGAGTTCACACTGGAGAAAGGCCTTATAATTGCAGCAAATGTAGGAAATCATTTACTTGGAAAGTTAACCTTGGTCGTCATCAGAGAGTTCACACTGGTGAAAGACCTTATGTGTGCAATGAATGTGGGAAATCTTTTACCGATAGCAATAGCCTGTGTGGTCATCAGAGATTTCACACTGGAGAAACACCTTATGAGTGCAGTGAATGTGGGAAGTCTTTTGCCAGTAACACTGGCTTGCATTATCATCAAAGTATCCACACTGGAGAAAGGCCTTATGAATGTGGTGATTGTGGGAAATCATTTACTTGGAAAGTTACCCTTCATCGTCACCAGAGAGTTCACACTGGTGAAAGACCTTATGTTTGTAATGAATGTGGGAAGTCTTATACCTGTCGCAGTGGCCTCCGTTGCCATCAGAGAGTTCACACTGGAGAAACGCCTTATGAGTGCAGTGAATGTGGGAGATCGTTTACTTGGAAAGGTACCTTTCATCGTCATCAGAGAGCTCACACTGGTGAAAGACCTTATGTTTGCAATGAATGTGGGAAGTCTTATACCTGTCGCAGTGGCCTCCGTAGCCATCAGAGAGTTCACACTGGAGAAATGCCTTATGAGTGCAGGGAATGTGGGAAGTCCTTTGCCAGTTTCACTGGCTTCCACTATCATCAGAAAGTTCACAAGGGAGAAAAGCCTTATGAGTGTCGTCAATGTGGGAAATCTTTTACCAGGTTGTATACCCTTCGTTGTCATCAGAGAGTTCACACTGGAGAAAAGCCTTATGAGTGCAGTGAATGTGGAAAATCTTTTGCTGTGATCTATGGCCTTCGTTCTCATCAGAGAATTCACACTAGAGAAAGGTTGTATGTGTGTAGTTAATATGGGAAATCTTTTAGGCAAAGTTCTAACCTGACTCCACACATACGAATTCACATTGGAGGAAAGTGTTACATATTCAGGAAATGCAGTTTTTTAGTTCACTCCTAAAAATAATGTAGTACCTGGAGCAGCAGCAGGCAGGCCTGGAGCTGCCAGGCCCGGAGCAGCAGCATCCAGGCCTGGAGCATCCAGGCCCGGAGCAGTAGCAGCCAGGCTCAGAGCATCTAGGCTCAGAGCATCTAGGCCCAGAGCAGCAGCAGCCAGGGCCGGAGCAGCCAGGCCCTGAGCAGCAGCATTCAGGCCCGGAGCAGCAGCAGCCAAGCCCGGAGCAGCAGCAGCTAAGTCTGGAGCAGCAGCAGCCAGGCCTGGAGCAGCGAGGCCCGTAGAATCCAGGCCCGGAGTGTTGTGGGGTCGAACCCTGGGTTCAAAATGAAAGAAGGAGCAGTGCAGCCAATTCGGGTGTTATGTCCATCATCACAATGGATTCAGAGAAGCTCCTGTGTCTCTTCACCCAAAAGGATGGAGAGTTGCCCCGACGAGAGCAAAGTGGGAGTAGAAAACTGAAGGCTATGCAAGGGACTGAGGTGCCAACATGGAGTCATCTGAAGAAATTAAAGACTGAAGTGGAAGCTACTTCTTTAATCATGTTCCTGCTCATGCTAGCATCTGTTAGCTTCCAGTCTTCTGCAAAGTCTTGTGCAGCAAGTCCAATGTCTCTGAGTAAATCTACACCAGCATCAAAAAAGACTCATTTATTATAGTAGCTAAAAATATTAATATGTCCATAATTCTGATTTCTCATTTTGTTGTTTTGCATTGGCATTGTTATTATTTAAAAGCCAGAGTTTTGCTCTTGACATTAAAGTTTTGAAAATAACATGTATGTGGTTTAGTTTTTGCATTGGCATTGTTTGCAATTGTTTTAGAGCCCTATTATTGATGTTTAAATTTTATTTTAATTAGTAAAAAAGGGTGAGATGTAGAGAGCCACCAGAGAAGGCACATGGACATTCTTTTAATTCTTATCAGCTGAGGCCGAGGGCACTGGCAGAATCCTCATATCAGTGCTGATTTCTTAATCCGTGTGCTTGGAATAGGGAACAGGTGGAACCTTGACTCACCCAGGACTTGATGTGCTGAATCTTGTACCAAAAAATAAGGAGCTTACCCAGATTTTGATGAATGGGATCTGGGCACACCCAAAACTCCTTTTGACCTTAAACTCCCCTTTGGAAGCCAATAAAAATATATATATACGCCGAAACTTTTGTAATAATATGAACAATAAAGATTAAATAAATAAATAAATAAATAAATAAAATAAAAATAATGTAGTAAACTCCAAAGACCCACTTGTCGGAATTGAATCTCATACATTCAATTATCAATTGTAGAAAGATTCCCAATATATTTTACTTTTGTGAAAAGCGTGTGTGTATGTTGCACTTATTATTAATGTTTTTATTGAGAGAGGAAGAGTGAGGGAAAGATAGACACATCAATGATGAGAGAGAATCACCGATCGGCTGCCTACTGCATGCCCATACCGGAGATTGAGCTTGCACCTGAGTGGAAACTGAATCGAGTCCTCCTGGTTCATATGGTGTCGCTCAACCACTGAACCACACCAGCCCGTCATGTATGTTTACAATTTGTAATTTATGCAGGTATCTTCCCAAATCTTTGTTGCTACATAATATTTTTAAATTTATTTATTCATTTTCAATATATTTTTATTGATTTTAGAGAGGAAGGGAGGGAGAGATAGAAACATCAGTGATGAGAGAGAATCATAGATCAGCTGCCTCTGGCATTCCCCCCACTGAGGATCGAGCCTGCAACCCCGGCATGTGCCCTTGGCCAGAATTGAACCCAGGACCTCCTAGTCTGCAGGCCGATGCTCTATCCACTGAACCAAACCAGCCAGGGCAATTTTTTTTTTTTTTTTTAACAACTATCTCTTGTGACCCGGGTGACAACATCTGTAGACCCTTTAAAAATTTTTTTTAATTTCAGAGGAAGGGAGAGGGATCAGGAGTGATAGATGGAAATAGCAATGAAGAAAGAGAATCATTGATTGCCTCCTGCATGCAGGAGATCCAGCCTGAAATAGGGGCTTATGCCCTGACTCAGGTTCAAATCGTGACATCTTGGTTGGTTCGTAGGTTGAAGCTCAACCACTGAGCTATATCGGCTGGGCTGTCACTACATATTTCTGTTGCTATTCCACCTACAAGATATTCACAAATTGCCGAGACCAGTTTGGCTCAATGGATAGAGTGTTGGCTTGGGGAATGAAGGGTCCCGGGTTTGGTTCCGGTCAAGGGCATGTACCTTGGTTGCGGGCATATCCCCAGTAGGGGGTGTGCAAGAGGCAGCTGATCGATGACTCTATCGATGTTTCTAACTCTGTATCTCTCTCCCTTCCTCTCTGTACAAAATAAATAAAAAATAAAAAAGATATTCACAAATTGTGTCAATCACCATCCTCATGCGCTCAGGAAAGCAAACTCTGTTCTCTGATTTGAGAAAATTGGGGGCTGTCTGAGCTTTTAGGAGTCTTATTTCCTTGCACTCTGACTAGTTGCTGTATGGACCTGACTCAGTGTTGTCCCCATAGAACATCATCTGAATTCAGCAAGCAGCTTACAGAATAACTTTTTTCCAGGGGCAGACATTTTCTAAACTGACAAATTTTTTGAGTGGTCAATGCACTGATTTAAGACCTGCCAGGGTCTTATCCATTTAGATGTAAAATAGTGAAGGACTTTCTAAGTCTTTAATCTTGGGTTTTCTGTTTTTTAAAAATATATTTTATTGATTTTTTACAGAGAGGAAGGAAGAGGGATAGAGAGAAACATCGATGAGAGAGAAACATCAGTCAGCTGCCTCTTGCACACCTCCTACTGGGGATGTGCCCACAACCAAGGTACATGCCCTTGACCGGAATCGAACCTGGGACCTTTCAGTCCTCAGGATGATGCTCTATCCACTGAGCCAAACTGGTTTTGGCCATAATAGAACATTTTAATAAAAATTAAAATTTTCCTGGTACATGCTGATGGAGCACCAGAGGCAGGCGAGGGATCTCTGTTGGGCAAATTTGACCCTCTTTTGAGAAACATTTGGGCCGAAACCGGTTTGGCTCAGTGGACAGAGCGTCATCCTATGAACTGCAAGGTCCCAGGTTCGATTCCGCTCAAGGGCATGTACCTTGATTGAGGGCACATCCCCAATTGGGAGTGTGCAAGAGGCAGCTGATCAATGATTCTCTCTCATCGATGTTTCTAACTATCCCTCTCTTCCTCTCTGTAAAAAATCAATTAAATATATATTTAAAAAAAAAACATTTGGCAATATCTGGAGACACTCAGTTATCATAATCAGTCAGCAGTGTTACTGGCATCTGATGGGTTCTTCCCAACACCCTGCATTGCCCAGAGTGGCTCCTACAGCAAAGAATTGCCCAGCCCTAGCCCCTGGCCCAGCCGCCATGGCTCAGTGGTTGCACACAGGCCTATGCACCAGGAGGCCATGGTTTGATTCCCAGTTAGGGCACATGCCTGGGTTTTGGGCTTGATCCCCAGTGGGGGGCATGCAGGAGGCAGCCCATCAATAATTCCCAGTGGTTAGTGTGCAGGAAGTGGCCTATGGATGACTCTCATCATTGATATTTCTATCTCTCCCTTCCTCTCTGAAATCAATAAAAAAAAATATTTTTTTTTTCTGAAATTTTTAAAGTTTTATTTATACAAACTAAAAATAAAGGCAGCGGCCACATGACTTCTTTGCCCAGCACGTCACACACTATTTAATTGGGTCTGTATTTTCTTTGAGAAGCTCAAATCTCTGAAAACACTCATTTTCCACAAGAGTACAAGTGCCAGGACAGGAGATGATCTCGGGTGCTTCTCACCTTCCAGCCATCCCTGGCTGCTGCTTCCAAACCTGGGGCTTTGCCTTCCGTACGGCAGCCGGGCCTCCCAACATGGCGGCCCCCGTGGCGGCGCTGCGCGCTGGGAGCGGACATATTGCCTCAGACGGGACAGCGGAAATCACTCGCTTTCCCCCGATGCCCATGATTCTCCTCGGCCACCGTAGTGACGCAATATCTGGGCGACGATTCCAGATTCTGAATCAGTTCGCTGTGTGTAAGGTTCAGCAGGTAAGTGTGCTCTTCTTGTCCTTTGACTTTTTTATTTATTTATTTTTTTTTAGAAAAAATGTCTTGTCTCCATTGAAGTTTGCTCTCACGGGGTGGGAGGGTGCGGCTGGACCCGGGGGATTCGCGGCGGGGATGCAGGGCGGCGGGGGAGGGGGAGGGGGAGGGAGAGCGCCGGGGTGTTGGGAGGAAGCCGGGGTGACGCTCCTGCCTGCGGTCGGGGTTTCTTTGGGGTCACCAGGGTCCCGACCGTCCGGGCCTGTGCGGGGCTCTGGGAGGGACGAGGGGCATTTCGGATGGTCGCGGAGTCGGGTTGCGGTTTGGGGTGTCCCGTGGGGCTCAGGGAATTGGGGGCGGCGTGAGGGCGTCGCGTGCGGGTTTGGGGGTAATAATGGGCGTAGGGTCCGGGTTCGGGGATAATAACGGGCGTGGGGTCCGGGTTTGGGGGTAATAACGGACGGGTGATCAGGATCTCGCGAGGGCTTCTGGCCCAATATTCGGAATAATAACGGGCGTCGGGTCCGGGTTCGGGGATAGTAACGGGCGGGTGATCCGGGTCTCGCGAGGCGGAAGCCCCGGCCGCCCGGGCGGGGCTGAGGGGTGGGCTGAGGTTCCCGCCTCGGCCGTTGGGCGGGGGCGGCCTCCGGGCTGGAGGCTGAGGCGGTTTTCCTGCTGGGAGCGCACGGGCGCCGTTTGCCTTTGGGCTGGTGGTGGCATCGCTGCTGTGGACGTTCTTGGCCGTGTGTCCGGGGCCGATGTGCCCTTATGTGGGGGGATGTGTAGCTCAGATGTAAACCGCAGAGAAGGCGGCAGAGCCCGGCAAGTTGTGAGGAAATGCCCTGTTTTTTAGCTCATTATCCGGGGCTGGCTCACCGCAGCGGAGAGACGAACCCAGCCTCGCTCATGGGTCACTCATTGTTTGGGGCGGCTTTCGAGCTACAAACGCAGAACTGGGTCCTGTGACAGAGACCTGTGGTGCTCAAAGCTGAAAGTAAATGGCTATCCCTTGGCAGAAAATGTTCGCCAACATCTGCGCGCTCTCGCTCGCTCTCTCTCGCTCTCTCTTTTTTTTCTTTTTTGGCTAACAGAATCTTCATTTTATTTAATATGCATCCCTCCGCTAAGGTAACCTGTATCCCTGTGTATGTATTAAGTCCTGCTTCATTCATCTTTGTCCACCGCGGTGGTTGCAGTTCCCATCGCTAGTGATTGATTTAAATAATTCATTGGATTGCTTTTTCCATGTTTGATGAAGTACTGTCTCCAATAACCTTAATGTTCTGTCCTACTTTCTCATGTTCATAATCTGCTAGAGGCCCGGTGCACGAAATTCATGCAAGGGACTTGGCCCCACCACTGCCCCTGTAGCTGGCTCTGCCTCACCCGCGCCACTGGCTTTGTCCAAGTCCGGACTAATTGGCATATTACGCTTATATCACTAAAGATTCTTTTCTCAAAGCATCGGCTCTTCAGTAGAAGATAGGAAATCAGAGTGCTGGTGGAAATGTGTCCTGTTGCCTACCCAGAAAATTCACCTGCTACAGTGACAGGAGTTAGCAGTTTCTATGAGTTTAGGTTAATAAAATTGTGATTCATCCAGGATTTCAAGTTTAATGACATGAAAATGTTTATAATTATGCCAGGTGGGCATGGCTCAGGGGTTAAGCATGAATCTATGAACCACAGGGTCAGGGTTCGATTTCTAGCCAAGGGCACATGTCCAGGTTGTGGGCTCCATCCCCAGTCACCCCCAACTGCCCTCCCCTGCTGGCCATCTTGTGGTGGCCACCTTGTGTCCACAGGTGGTAGCCATCTTTGATCACATGGGGGTGGCAATCTTATGTGTTGGAGTGACGGTCAATTTGCATATTAACTATATATATAGGATTATATAAGTATATCTTTTGTCTTTCAAATATATGAATGTGGTGTTTCTAGTGTAACAAAACAATTCTGCTTGGTCACATTATGGAAATTTCTAACGATGAAAGCATAGTTGACTGAATGCTCAATTTCTAAATATAGGATGGGCAAAAGTAGACTTATAATTGTGTATATTTGATACAGAGTTAATTCTGGTGTTATTAATTATTGTCTATCTGTAAACCTACTTTTGTCCCACCTTGCATTTTACTAGGCATGTGATCACTCAATTATATACTAAATTAAAATCCCACTTGCTATATAGTTGCAGTCTAAAGTGAGCAGAAAAACTAACATTTCTTCCATATCGTCTAAAGGACATCGCGCCATCGCACAGCATGGAGTTGTCAGAGGGACCCCTGACATTTCATGATGTGGCCGTGGACTTCACCCGGGAGGAGTGGCGGCTCCTGGGCCCCAAGCAGAAGGACCTGTACAGGGACGTGATGCTGGAGATCTACCGCCACCTGGTGTTCGTGGGTGAGGACAGCTCCCCCGTGTCAGTCCGAGGGTCCCCAGTCAGTGGCCTGTCCATCCTCAGCTTCTGAAAGCTCTGGCATGTCTGGTTTTCTGAAGTGGTAGCTGAATCTTCGTTTTCCCTCTGGACCCAGAGAGGAATATTCTCCCTTCTGCTGAGAGAATAGCCTTTACAAAGTGTGAACATTGTTTTGTCTTTATTATATTCTATGGTCTTCACAGACCCCGAGCCCTAGATCACATGCCTAGTGTGTCTAAGGCTTCTATCATTCCCCATGAACAGGTTGTGAGGCCAGCAAACCTGACATACTGTCCAAGTTGGATCAGGGTGAAGCACCATGGACAGTGGCAGGTGAACTCCACTGCGGAACCCGTTCAGGTGAGTGAGAACGAGCATAGGGGCCTGTGGAAATCACATTCTAGTCACTCAGAGAAGAGGCTTAGAGGTGAAGGGATTTGAGGATAGGTGAGCAGTGCCTGTGTATGTCCTTCCCAGTGAGAGAGAGACCCCTTTCTGTCTGTAGGAGTTCATAGAAAAATAGATCCCTTTATCTCTTTTGGGATTTGATTCATCTTTCTCTTCACCTTCATTTTTGGTTGTATGGTCCATTTAAAAAAAATGTTTTTATTTATTTGGTGTTTTTTAAGAGAAAAAGAAGGGAGAGTGAAAGAGATAGAAACATCAGTGATGAGAGAGAATCGTTGATTGGCTGCCTCTTGCACGTTCCACAGTGGGAATCGAGCCTGCAACCCAGGCATGTGCCCTAACTGAATCTAACCATGACCTGATTCACAGGTCTTTGCTCACTGAGCCAAGCCAGCTAGACATGGTTCTTTCTTTTTTCTTTTTTCTTTTCAGGATTCTCAAATCTTTTCCTTCTTCATACCCTTCCACCTGCCCTGCTATAAGAATGCACGGGCCTTCAGGGACAAGTTGCTCACTGTCTTCTAAGCACTGCTCCTTCCTGCCCCTGCTGTTGTTGATTGCCTTCCTAACATCCACCCCATCTTAGACGATGTGTCCCCAGGGAAAGTGGCTCACTGTGCTTTTGCTTTCCTTTTTCTCTTCTCTTTTTCTTCACTCTGAGATTCTTCTTAGGATCTGGTTTCCATTTTCTCATCTGAACCACTACCCTTCAAAGTTTTCTTCATGTTCCTCAGCTAAGCTTCTTTTGTTCTCTTCACAAGACTCCTGTAGTGCTATATTCCCAATTTGATCCACCACTGACACTATTGTGTGGAATTTAGTCATCTCAGTGGCAACTCAGCTCCCAAGCACTACAAGGAACTAGAATCACGGGCCATGCTAGAGAAACCCAAAGTTCGGATTCTCCTTCACTCCTGTATACCTGCCTCCCTGACCATCCAGCCACCAGCTCAGTTGTTCCCCACCCACAGAGCTGTCTTCTTTTCTTTTTTTAAAATATTTTTATTGATTTCAGAGAGGGAGGAAGAGGGAGAGAGAGAGACATCAATGATGAGAGAGAATCATTGATTGGCTGCCTCTTGCACGCCCCCCACTGGGGACTGAGCCTTCAACACAGACATGTGCTCTTGACTGGAATTGAACCTGGGACCCTTCAGTCCACAGGCCGACGTTCTGTCCACCTAGCCAAACCAGCTAGGGCCAGAGCTCTCTTCTTTCAAGGGGTTTACTGTTAATGATGTGTTTCAACTACAACATTTAACTAGATATATTCTCAATTCCACCCTAAACCAAACCAAAATACTCTTGCCTACTTCAAATTAAATTCTTTGAGTATTTTCTAATTCCCTCACTTCCTTTAACTCTTAAAAAAATATCAATGGATACAATGTTCTCCAGTGATTAAAAAACTCAAAAAGAATTTCATTTAATTCCAACTGAGATGATAATTTACTAGGGACTTGTGAGTAGAGAACTATCTCATCATCTATCTATCTATATAATCTATATATATAAAAGGCTAACATGCATGAACAACAAATACGTAACTATCAACAAGTGAATCAAAAACCAAGGGAATTAAAAAAAACTGATGAATAATATTAACTGGTGAATATAATAGAATCAGAGGTATGGAGGGGGAGTGAACTGATGATTCTCGGGGAAAAGGGGCGTGGGGATGTGGGAAGAGACTGAACATAAACTGCACCTATGGATGAGGACAATGGGTGGGGAAAGGGCAGAGGGTGGGGTGGGAACCTGGTGGAGGGGAGCAATGGAGGGAGAAAAAAAACTGAGGAACATTTGTAATAATATGAACAATAAAGATTTATTAAAAAAAAAAAAAAAAAGGAAAGAAAGAAAGAAAGAAAAGGCTAATATGCAAATTGTCCCCTCAGGAGTTTGATTGCTCACTATGATGTGCGCTGAACACCAGGGGGGAACACAGAACCCAGGAAGTTTCCGGCCAGGAGTCAGGGAAGAGAAGACCCAGCTGGCAACTGGCAACTAGGGAAGGGAGGCCCCAGTCAGCAGCCAGAATGCCCCAATCAGCCTTGACCACTGACCAGCTCATGAATTTCATGCCCTGGGCCTCTGGTTGTGATATAATTTATGTGGAAAGATGACTTTGGCTGCTGGATGGAAAACAGATGGCCGCTGGCTGAGGAGGAACAGAATAGGCAGACAAGGCTACTGCTGTAGTCTGAAAGAGGGACTTGCTTCCACGTGTGGAAGGGGTGTTAGTCCAATTCTGGGCACATTCCTAGGGGAAGACAGGTGGGATTTATCATGGAGGTAGATGCTGTGTGTGAGCGAGAGTAACAGATGAAGGGTGATCCTGAGAAGTTCTGTTCTGGTTACAGGGAAGAGTGGCGTTCTCATTTACGTGAATGGAGATGAGATGTGGAGAAGTACTTGGGTTGCAGATTGGGGTTCTGTTCTGGAGGGTGTGTCACAGGATCTAGGAGCTTTCTGTTGTGTAATCACCTTATTCCTGCCATACCCACCACACTAATGGACCACAGCGAGTCCTGGCTTCTGAAATGTAGCTTATTTTCCTCCACTTCTCTCCAGCTCCACTGTGCCTTCCCACCATTTTCACAACCTGTAGCTGTTTCTCGCACGTGTCTTTACCCTTTAAGTGGCTTCACCAAACTGCAGTGTAGGCCCCCTATACATGAGGACTGTGTTTGTGTGTCCTCAATCTAGGACCATGTTAGTACACAGTGGTCAGCAGTGATGAATGTGGAAGGAGTGAGTCTGTCCCTCTCCAATTTGGTTAAGGTGGCCCTTTTCTATGTGTCTGCTGATTCCATAAATTGCCTATATTTTATAGTCTGCATGATTGTCATGACCTTAGGAAGTAGACAAATCTGTATTTTTTTTAAATTTAATTTTTTAAAGATATATTTTATTGATTTTTTACATAGAGAAAGGGAGAGGGATAGAGAGTTAGAAACATCGATAAGAGAAAAACATCGATCAGCTGCCTCCTGCACACCTTCTACTGGGAATGTGCCTGCAGCCAAGGTACATGCCTTTGACCAGAATTGAACCTGGGACATTTCAGTCTGCAGGCCGACACTCTATCCACTGAGCCACACCAGTTAGGGCCAAATCTATATTTCATCATGATGAATTATAGAATCTATTTTTACACTCAACTTTCACCTATTATTGTGTTTTCCAAAGAACATTGAACATGGAATTTTGTAACAAATATATTTTTATTGATTTTAGAGAGGAAAGTAGAGGGAGAGTTATAAACATCAGTGATGAGAGAGAATCACTGATTGGCTGCCTCCAGCACACCCCCTACTGGGGATTGAGCCCTTACTAGGAATCAAATCATAACCTCCTGGTTCAAAGGTCGACACTCAACCACTTAGCCAAGCCAGCTGGACTGAAGGTATCAGGATAATTTTTTATTACCTTTCTTCCAATTCAAATGTTGGATGAGTTCATTGTTCTGTTCTTTCCTAGATATCCGGAAACGTGATGATCATCTGCCAGAACACTTACAAAATGAAAGCCTACAACAATGGCATCAGCGTAACACATATGAAAATGCTGCCCAGGAGAGCACAAACCATTCTCTGTTAAAACAAAAACATATGTCTGACTCACATGGAAAAAATATAAAATCAGATTTATCTTTACTTAACCAGAGAAGAAACTATGGAATCACCTTGCGAACTGAGCATTCTGAAGATAGAAAATCCTGTCTCCACACCAACAGTGAACAGTTTCAGGCTGAAGTGAAATTTCACGAAAGCCAAAAACTCGTCAGTACTGAGTCCCAACTCATCAAACTTCAGAAGAGAGAGAAGGCTCACGGGATGGGTGACGATGGGAAAGCGTTCCAGAAGAGGTCTTGTCTCTCTGATCATCAGATCGTCCATTCAGGTGAGAAGCCACGCCAGAGTTTTGAGTGCAGGGAAGCATTCACAATCTTCATCCTCACTGAACAGAGAACAAGAGAGAAACCCTTCATATGCAGTCACTGTGGGAAAGGCTTCCTCCAGAATCGTGACCTCATTGTACATAGGCGAATTCACAGAGGGCCCAAACCCTGTATCTGCAGCGAGTGTGGAAAAGGCTTTGTGAATAAGAGCAATCTCACTGTACATAAGCGATTTCACACAGGGGAGAAACCTTACGTGTGTGATGAATGTGGAAAAGGCTTCATCCAGAAGGGCGACCTCACAGCACATCAGAGAGTACACACAGGACAGAGGCCCTTCATGTGCAGTGAGTGTGGAAAATGCTTTTCCTGGTCCTCAAGTCTCATGAAACATGAAAGAATTCACACTGGAGAGAAACCCTATTCCTGTGACATGTGTGGGAAAGCTTTTGCCTACATGTCAACGCTTGTGACACATAAAAAAAGACACCCAAGAGCAATATGTGGCGGTCCAGTCAAGGCCATACGTCCTCGCTTAGAGAGCCCCAGCTCATCACAGACCAGTGTTGTCCTGCAGCAGATAAACCCTCTTAATACAGTGACTATGCAGGCGCCTTCTGTGTTTTCTCACACAGCACTAAACATCACTGGGCCTCTAGCAAACAGGAATGTAGTCAGTGTGGCCCAGCCTGTGGCCAGAGGTGCGCCCTCCGGAGGATTTTCACAGAACAGCAACCCTCTGAATGCAGTGAGTGTTGTCTCACCGACAGTGGTCAATTACATGTTCCTTTATGTCACAGGAAAATAATAGGAGACATTCTGTGTGAAAGACATCCTAGTTCAGATTGTTGTTTAAAAGTATATCCTGAGAGAAATTGTATATATGCTGAAACTGGGAAGTTGTGAGAGTCTCGTGTTGTTCAATATTTGCATTGATATAAAGGCATACTCAGGTCTTAACCTAAACACATACATCTGTTAATCTATTGTATCAATTGAAGGAATAAAAGAAGCTATGTGCATGTAATTAAATTTTTAAAACATAAATGTAATTTGTATCTGAAACATTGGTATGAGTGAAATGGGCCTGGTCTCAGTTTGTTCTCATTGCTGTAAGACAATAGTATAGCCTGGGAGGTATATAGAAGCAGAAATGTATTTACCGTATTTTTCGGACCATAAGACGCACCAGTTTTTAGAGAAGGGAAATGAAGAAAAAAAGATTCTGAAACAAATAGTGTCCTAAAATATTTTATGTGCATTAAAACCCAACATCACAGTCATAAACACATGTAATCAACCCTGTAAAGTAAACAGCAGCATTTAGAACCATTTTAGAGCCGGGCAAGCACACAGAGACCACACAGAGCCGGGCAAGTAAAAAAACTTTTTTTTAAAGCATATGTGTAGGCTATATTTGGACCATAATACGCAGGGACTTTTTCCCCCCACTTCTGGGGGAAAAAAGTGCGTCTTATGGGCCGAAAAATACGGTAAATATAACTCATTCTGTAAGTTATATTCATGCCTATCACTATGGTGTACACAAACTAATATAATCCTAATGAGTAATATGCAAATTGACCATCACTCCAACACACAAGCTGGCTTCCCCCATGTGGTCAAAGATGGCTGCCCCCATGTGGACACAAGATGGCCACCACAAGGGAGGGCAGTTGGGAGCTATCAGGCCAGCAAGGGGGGGGGGCCCAGTTGTGAGGGACCAGGTCTGCAAGGGAGAGCAGTTGAGGGGGTGGGGGGTAGAGACCAGGCCTGCAGGGGAGGGTAGTTAGGGGTGACCAGGCCTGCAGGGAAGGGCAGTTGGGGGGAGGGGGAGAAGACCAGGCCTGCAGGGGAGGGTAGTTAGGGGTAATCAGGCAGGCAGGGGAGTGGTTAGGGAGTGATCAGGCTGGCAGGAAGAAGCAGTTAGGGGCAATCAGGAAGGCAGGCAGGTGAGCAGTTGGAAGCCAGCAGTTCTGGATTATGAGAGGGATGTCCCAGATTGGAGAGGGTGCAGGTTGGGCTGAGGGACACAAAGTTGTGCATGAATTTCATGCACCGGGCCTCTAATGCTATATATAAACTTTAAATGGAGCCTTCATGAACTATAAGCAAACTACACAAAATGCAAACTATCAGGGTATTTGGAACAAAGAACTTACTCCCATTTGGGTTTATTTGTAAGAGAAAGTTCATAAGCTAGGGAACAATTTCAATGTACTGAGCAATTTGTATAAAATATTAAAATATTTTCCAAGCCTGTCAGTGTGGCTCAGTGATTGAGCATCAACCTATAAACTAGGAGGTCAGGGTTTGATTGCCAGTCAGGCACATGGCATTGTTTCCAGGGTCAATCACCAGTAGTGGTTGTGCAGGAGGCAGCTGAATAATTACTCTCATCACTATTGTTTATATCTCCTCCCTTTTCTGAAATCAATGTGTGTGTGTGTGTGTGTGTGTGTGTGTGTGTATGTGTGTATATATATATATATATATATATATATATATATATATATATATATTAATATAAGCTCACCCTAACCATTTTGGATCAGTGGATAGAGTGTCAACCTGAGCACTGGAAGGTCCCAGGTTTGATTCAGGTCAAGAGCATATAACTGGGTTGCGGACATATCCCTAGTAGGAGGCGTGCAGGAGGCAGCTGATTGATGTTTCTCTCTCATCAATGTTTCTAACTATCTCCCTCTCTGTAAAAAAAATCAATAAAATATATTTAAAAAACAATCAGTTGTCTCACCAAGGCTGGGTCGCTCAGTGGTTGAGCATCAACCTACGAACCAGAAGGTCACAGTTCCATTCCTGGTCCTAGTGTGGGGCATGCAGTATACGGCACATCATTGATGTTTCTATTAGTATGATTCTCATTCATCATTGATGTTTCTCTCCCACTCCCTATCCCTTCCTCTCTGAAATAAAAATGTATAAAAAAAAAAAAAAGAACAATTGTACCCCTACAAATTATATTTTATCCTCAGGGAGAGGGAGAGAAGGATGGAAACATCACTGATGAGAGGGAGAATAATTGATCAGCTGCCCCCTGCAGACCTCCCACCTCAATTCAGGCATATGCACTGACTGGGAAATGCCCTGACTGGGAACCAAAAGCAACTGTGACCTCCTGTCCTGGCTCATAGGTCGATGCTCAGCCTCTGAGTCATATCGACCGACCAGATAGTTCCCCCAAAACCATGTGTGATTAGAAACTTTAACTGATTATAAACTGAGCAGAGCAGGAAAGAAAAAGGTGTTCAGAATAAATAGAGCATAAAGGGTGACAAGAGCTGAAACTGGTTTGGCTCAGTGGATAGAGCATTGGCCTGCAGAATGAAGGGTCCCAGGTTCGATTCTGGTCAAGGGCATGTACCTTGATTATGGGCATATCCCCAGTAGGAGGTGTGCGGGAGGCAGCTGATTGATGTTTCTAACTCTAATCCTCTCCCTTTCTGTAAAAAATCATGTGTGTGTGAATATATATATATATATATATATATAATTTTTTTTTAAATGTGACAAAAATCTTAGTCTCTAAGAATGGACAATGTGGGAGATGGGGTGTGACATCCTTAAGGGATGTTGTCAAGGAAAGCCTCTGCATTTGTCCACAGGACTATCAGTCATTCTTTTTTTTAATTTTAATTTTTAAAAAATATATTTTATTGATTTTTTACAGAGAGGAAGAGAGAGGGATAGAGAGTTAGAAACATCAATGAGAGAGAATCATCAGCCAGCTGCCTCTTACTGGGGATTTGCCCTAAACCAAGGTACATGCCCTTGACCAGAATTGAACCTGGGACCTTTCAGTCCGCAGGCCAATGCTCTATCCACGGAGCCAAACCAGCCTCCGCAATCATTCTTTTTTTTTTAAAGAACTCTTTTATTCTTTTAAAATATATTTTATTGATATATATTTTTTTTTTTTACAGAGAGGAAGGGAGAGGTATAGAGAGTTAGAAACACCAATGAGAGCCCTTACTGGTTTGGCTCAGTGGGTAGAGCATCGGTCTGCTGACTGAAAGGTCCCAGATTCCATTCTGGTTGAGGCATGTATCTTGGTTGCGGGCACATCCCCAGTAGGTGGTGTGCAGGAGGCAGCTGATTGATGTTTCTCTCCCACTCTCTTATCCCTCTCTCTTCCCCTCTGTAAAAAAATCAATAAAATATTTTAAAAATCAATTGTATTTTAAAAATGTATCCGTTTTTTTAAGAGTCCACGTGCCAGTCAAGGAGATCATTTCAGTAGCTTCTCATCTCCCCTCCATCCCTGGCTACTTTTGCCTCCAAGTTGCAGCTTCAACAGCTGTACGGCAGTCAGGTGGCCCAACATGGCGGCCCCCATGGGCCACCGCTGAATGGGCGCGGACATCTTGCCCCTGAAGCGTAGGCCGCGTTTCTTCAAAAGCCGGCGGTCCTCCGCGGCCACCGTAGAGGGAGCGGGAACAGCGCAGAAGTGGGAGCGTTTCCAGGAAAAGCTACAGGACCTGCCGGCCCGGTGGGTTTGAGGAAACACTGAGGTGCATGTGTGGTGTTTCAGTTGTAATTGTTCCTGCCTCAGGAGAAGTTTTGTTTCTCACGGGTGACGTGTGGGCGTGGCGTGATGTGGGGCGTGGAGGGGGCGGAGGGGCGGGAGGAGCGGCCCGGAGGAGGGAGCCTTGGGGTTGGAGGGGAAGCAGAGGCGTCTGTGTGCGGTCGGGGCGCCCTGGGGCTCGGTGCCCAGGGGAAGAGCCTGTGGAGATGGCGCCCTGGCCCTGGCTGTCACCCCGCCTGTGAGGCCTGCCGCGGCATTTGGAGAGATGGCGGCATCAGGGTCAGGTTGGGGGTCAATATGCGGTCAGGGATGTTGAGGTCGGCGGGGAAGGTAAGGACACGGCAGCGTCCCGCCCAGGTTTCTGATTGAGAAGGAAAGTGTGGTCTCGGGAGCTTGTAAGGGTGACGTTTTGGAATTGGAGGGGCCCTGGTGTGTGTTGTAAGGTTAGGGCCCAGGCTGCTGTTGGGACCAAAGGCGTTGACCCCTGAGTGCTATGTCCAGTTCGGTGTTTTTAACCCTCAGTGCCTTAGTTGACTGACTAGAGACCCAGGGACGAAACCAGCAACGCCAGGCCTGTCTGTCAGGAATCCTCTGTGCACCTTTGGCCCTGCAAAGGCAGAATTGGGTCGTTGTTGACAGAGACATTTTGGTATGCAAACTGGGAAATGTTCATCTGTCCCTTTCAGCAGATGTTTGCCAACGCCTGCACTCACCTCTGAGTATCCAGCCAGGGACACAGTTGCTTATTTGCCTGGTGTACAGTCATGTGTTTTTCTTTCTTAACAAAAACTCCCATTATATTATATTATATTATATTATATTATATTATATTATATTACATTAATTATATTATATTATTTTTTAATATATAGATTAAAAAAAAACACCTGTGGACAAAGACCAAATATATATATATATATATATTTTTTTTTTTAAATATATTTTATTGATTTTGTACAGAGAGGAAGGGAGAGAGATAGAGAGATAGAAACATCGATGAGAGAGTCATCGATTAGCTGCCTCTTGCACACCCCCTACTGGGGATATGCCCGCAGCCAAGGTACATGCCTTTGACCGGAATCGAACCCGGGTCCCTTCAGTCCCCAAGCCGACGCTCTATCCATTGAGCCAAACTGGTCTCGGCCAAATATATTTTTTATTCTACAATAACTTAGAATTACCACTAAATAGTTATTTCATATGAAGACATTTTATAAAAACAGTTTTATTTCAAACAAGATTATGAGAGATTACAGAATTTACTGTTCTCTTTTTTCCCCTAGAACTCAAGCAAGTTGATGATCCTCTGCATTATCATTTGCAAAATCAAAGCCTTCAGAATAATGTGGAACATAATATATCTACAAACGTTAATCAAAGTGAAGGTCATTTCCTACTAAAGCAAAAGCATGATATGTTTGAGATATGTGAGAAACCTTTAAAATCAAATTTATGTTT